TTGACGTTCCAGTTATTTTCTACGTGTAGATAATTTCGTTGGGGGACAGCACCATAGCATCTTCAATATGCAACAGTGGGTGGGAACAAGTACACTTTCTAGCAAAGGAGGTAAACACCTTTATTAGAGCCCACCCTGTCTGTCTTAGTACAGCGGTTCCAAGAGTGCTAACCTGAGCTCATCACTGCCAATGATGTGATCTCAGTGGAGGGCGTGTGTGTGTGTGTGTGTGTGTGCGCGCGCGCGCGCAACAGAGAGAGAGAGAGAGTAATGAATGCCATGCCATCATCTGTACCACTTGGCCGAAGGCCTGGGTCCTTTTACTGAAGTGAGGCGCCCAGAGTAGGAGACGTAGAAAGACATGGATTTATTGACCTCTGCCTCCACTTGGACTCATGGCAACAGAAATTTATGGTGAGAGACTTTCCTCTGTTATGACTCATGTTTCCTTCTCTTTAGGTCTACTTTTTTTCCCCCTTCCTAGCAGAGGAAGAGGGATTCTTTTGCAGTTCTAAGAATAACCCATGTACCATCCTTGATCTGATGAATAACGGTGCTGCTGCTGATCTTTAGTTTCTATACAGTTTATTTTCATCTTACACATATTTTATGGGGACATTATGTCTGGGTCTTAAAAAGTTGTCCTAACACAGGCTAGCCCTTTGTCTCTTGCAAATGCTACTTAAGGGTTTGGATGTGGCCCATTGTTATTCCAGCTGCTCCTCTGCTGCCTGAGGGTAGGTCAAGTTCTGTAGTCAACTGGAGCTGGGAGCATCCCGTTTTTGCAGGTTTTGTGTCTAGTTGTTCTTTCCCCCCTAATTTCATTATATTTCTCACAGGAGTGTTAACTCTGTTTAGCCCGGAGTCTTTACTTTTTCTGTTGAGTTGGCAGCAAGTATTCCTCAGGTTTTAGACTGTTCCTGCATTACAGGGAGTCTTCCATACCTTACTTTCAACCAGGACATTTATTCTGAGTTGTTATCCCTGTCTGTCTGCCCCTTATTCCTCAGACCTGCCAGAGGAGGGGCCTGTAGAGTAGATACTGGTGTTTTCAAATAATGGATTTCTATGAGGCTTCACCCCAGCTGACTCTACCAACTCTTTTGATCGCCTCCTCTTCACCCTGTAGGTAAGGGAGGAATTCCCATGCTAGGGTTATAGGGGTGGCTTGACACCTGACAATGGACAGAGAAGTACAACAGCAATTTATTACCACATTTTCTCACAGCTTGGGTTAGGAGGATACCGCACACCACCCAGAGCTATGTGGGGTGTGCTTGGGAACAGTGAATAACTAGGGGCTGTAGGAGGCAGGCTGCGAAGTGTCAAGAGAGTGAGGCTCCCCTTGGTTCCCATGGGAGAATATGATTGGCTTGTTTGACTAATTCCACAGGAATAGTTCCACGGGAACGGAAAGCCACTGCTGAGGGATAAGCAGGAATCGTGTCTGGCCTCCTGGATAAGGACCGTGGTCCTGCTGGGGGACCTTATATAAGGGAGCAGAGTGGGAGGGGAGCTTGTGGTTAGACCACTTACGGCCCTTCTGCTTTTACCAGATGTCAAGGCAGCACCTTCTGTGCTTATAGAGGCTTGTTAGAAGTCTTACGTGCACACTTAACACATCCCCCTAACCGTGGACTCTCATGATTAGTCTAGGCTTATTTTGTTTCTTTTCCCTTTTATCACTATTTCTTTTATTTCAATTGCTGAAAGGTCTTACCACCTTTTAAAGGTGAATCAAGGAGCAAGTGTGGTGCCAAACAATTGAAGAAGTCTAGCAGGGAGAAGGAAGAGGACATTAAAGTTTTATTCCAGGCCCCACTCTGAACTACAGACCAGTTTATAGAACGAGAAAGCGAATACTCATGGAGGATGGTGAGGGCTAACATAGCAGAGTGACTACAGAAAACAGTAAAAATATTAATTTGCATAATCATATATATATTACAAAATGTTACATCTTCTTAGCAGATTGTACCTTTTATCCTTTGAACAAATCTGGTAAGAAATCTCTCTGGATACTAAATTTTCATATCCAAAAAGCTTAAGTCCTAAATTGTTGAGTATCAAAGTGCTGGGCCCTAAATTAATTTCTTACAGAAATTTTTAATATTAATCTGTTTGCTTTTTCATATAGTGTTAATGTTGAAAAGCCTGATTTCTCTCTAAATCCTATTTGTTTTGTATCCTTTCATTTTTGTATTTCTGAAAGCCTTTTACATTTATTTTTTTAATTTTTTTAAAATTATTTTTGAGGAAGAGAGAGCACATACATGTATGTGTGTGTGAGTGGGGAAGGGGCACAGAAAGAGGGGGACAGAGGATCTGAAGCAGGCTCTGTGCTGACAGCAGAGAACCTAATGCAGGGCTTGGACTCATGAACCCTGAGATTATGACCTGTTAACAAACTGAACCAACCAGGGACTCCTTAAGTTTATCTTTCGTGTTGGAGACCTCAACTGTCATCAGGATATGAAATCTTTAAGTCATGATCAGCGCTCGGCTTTTCGTTTCTGAAAAATACTCCTTTTCTTTCAGTTATAACCATTTTCTTCCCATTATCTCTTTAATTATTTCATCATTTTTCCATTTTCTCTATTCTTCCTTTTATTGCCTGTATATTAAACTTGTATATTTCTTAAATTGTCTGCTATATTTCCTGGTCTTTTTTCTGTTTATTCTGTATGCTAGGAGATTTTGTCTATATCATTTTATAGATCCCTAATTCTCATTTTTGCCATGAGTGGTTATAATGTAGCCTCTATTGAGTTTTTAATTCAGTAGTCATACTGTTAATTGACAAAAACTCCTTCTTTTTCACTGACTTCCCTTTATTTTATAGTTAGTCCTGATTTATGGTTACACCATCTTCTCAAATCTCTCTGAAATTAAATCATTTTAAGCCTTTTCCCTTTTCTCAATTCTTTTTCACAGTGTTTATCACTGTACTTTTTTAGAATTTTCTTTTTCTCCATGAGTGACTTTCTCCTAACATTGGTTTTCTCAGTGACCACTAGTCCTTGGTGATTGATTTATTAATGGACTAGATTGACTAATTGATTACTTAGGATATGTCGTTGGTGTATGATTTCTCTGCCATGATTAGATATTTTCCCAGAGGACTCTTTATTGGATAAGAGGGCTGATTTTGGATACTGTGTGAGTGAGGTATGTGAACAGTGTATGAATAGAAGCTGGTTTCACTGTATATATGGGTGTGCATGCATGCTCCTGTGCACATGCACGTGTGTGCACACACACACAAGCACACACCAAAGGGAGAAGTGGTAAATGATTTCATTTCTTTCTATCCAAGACAACACCGATGTTTTCCTTTCATCCTCATCTTCCGTGTCCTTCATGGCAGTCCGAGGCAGCCTGAAACTGAGGTCTGTTTGAGTTCCAACCCCGGACAACTTCCCATGGCAGGTGGTTCACTCGAGCCAGAGTGCTTTTAGCTGCTGCCTGCTGTCCAGTGTAAAGGGAGCCTTTGGGAGGTCTGTCTAGCCTCTCACTTTACGATAAATTATTGCAGCTGTTGCACTAGGGCCCCTTCCTACCCTTTGTAATTTTCACACTGAGTTTACTTGGTTGGTTGTCTGTTTGCTTTTTGTAGATTTATCCGTTGCTTGCCAGCAGTATTGTTTTACACTGTTCTTAGGCTAAAATCTGTATAATTATGAAATACATTATTTGTTTTATTTCCCAGGAATTTCTAACAATTTCTCACCTGTTATTAGAACACCTTGTTCGTGTCCAGTGCCATTGGGGAGCGGGTCTTACAATGCACGCCTTTCTCTAATTCTGATTTATTGGGAGTGGTGTGCCCTCAGGCCTCTGTCCTGACCTGGCTTCCTGGATTGCCTCATTAGCATAGGTTTCACTTCAAAACAGATGTATGTTTTTCTTATGAATATTATGGGTACACTTTGGGGGAAAATTAGAAAATATGGAAAAGCAAAAAGAAAAATAACAGTTTCTGAAGTCTCAGTAGAAGTTTATGCTTTCATTAATATCCTGTGTGTTTAATTTGGCACAATGTTGCTTCTGTCATGGAATAGAATAATTGCATCTTATTTGGGGGAATGCCATTATATCACAAGTGCTGCTAAAAATCATAGAGCATATGCACAAAGTCTACAGTGCTATCGATCACAGTTGGAATAGTCTCCACATATACTTGCTGCATACTGAAAATCAGAGCTTTTACAATATTCAGTGAATGGGAATGAAATGTTTGGTTCAGTCATATGTGTTTCTGAGACAGTCACTCTAATGTATTTCCAGTTTCTTAATTGAAAAAAATACTGACTGCTGATTTATAAAGCATTGCAAAAAAGTCGTAAAGTCTGATTTTAAAGTAGCATACTTTTATCAGTAAGCTGCATGACTTAGGCAATTAGAGATTTATTGCCCTTCTAAAATAAGGAGTCTGAGGCTGGTGTGGCTGATGATATCCCAGGCCTGGATCTACCAACCTTTTCATCTTTCCATTCTGCTCCACCTAGCATGTGGGCTTATATTTAATGCTTCTAGAATATCTGGGCATCACAGTCACCATGTCCATATTCTGGAAGAAGCATCAGCCAGCAGATTCTATCCACTTAAACAAGAAAACACAAGCCTTCCCGGATGCTCTACATAGTAGGATTTTACTTGTATCTCATTGGTCATAACCATCACATGATCGCACTCCTGTCTTTTTAGTTTAGAACAGATCATGATGTGCATAAGTTAGGAAGGAAAGAAACATGGATTTTGGCCGATAACTAACAGGGTCTGCTCTTGACACTGTTCTGCTATAGTACACAATGTTTATGAGGATCAGTATAATTGTGGATGAATTGGTGAATGCCCTTGAAATTGCACAGGTCAGTCATTAACTCTGTATATCACCCCATGGCTGTCCATTTATAGAGTTTGTGTGATGTATAATCAAATAAACAGTCATGTTGGGACAGATATACCTGGATAAAAAAGGCTTTCGTTTCTCTCATTAGTCAGGTGATACCTGTGACAGTCATACTGCTCAGTTGGATGGTGCCGAGGAGGAAAAAGAGCTGCCGGGAGTTATGAAAACAAGTGGTTCCTTGGTAAGTTACAGCAGGATAATTGGGAGGGAGTAGGGATGAATGAAGAAGCCAGATTTCTCAAGACAATCAGGCAGAACTTGAAAGCAATGCACCATAATTAAGATGGCTGGACAGCTAGAGCTCTCAACATACCTTTAATCAATTTGCAGGAAAACCTTCAGCAGTAAACAAACCCAAGTTTAATAGTTAAGCCTACAAATAATTTCATGCTCTATAAAAACAGAGAAATACCCGGAAAACTGATGTTTGTAGTTTCTGGGGCAGATTTAGTTTGCCTTTTATTTTAAAAAATTCTTATAAGAGTGCTAGTTCCATCAAGTCATGGGTCCATCTGTTGGAGGAGAAGCAGGTGTCCTCAGGTTTTCTATTGTTTTCCCCGTGCAGGGTGAACACCAGGCACCTTTCTTCTGACCATGCATGTAACCCCAGGTGGCCAGTGCCTCCCTCCCTTCCCCCTCTCGCTGCTTTTCCCCATCCCCACTTCTTTGCCCTGCTCACCCAGAGGAGGGGAAAGTCAGGCAAGCCAGAGGAGAAAGGTCAAGCATATATCCGTTTACAACCAGGAAAGTTTACTTAATTCACAGTTCAGCCCAGAGCCTTTCCTCACATGTTTCTGTGTACACTCCTACTTCAAGCTGTCTTCTCTCCATTGGTACAGGTTACATAGTCTCTTTTCTCTCTTCCTTTTCCATCCTCCTATTTCCTCTCCTCCCTTCCTCCCAGAGTAGCAAAAGGTGAAATGGCGAATCCCTGTAGGTTCCCTCCTCCCTTACGAGATAGCGTTGGGGAGAGCCTTTGACTGTGCATGTGACTATATCGAGCCCACCTGTGGTTACTCACGCCTCTGCTTGTCCTCTCTCATAATTTGCACATGATGGTAGTTGTCTTTGTCAAAATTTTCTCCATTTGCTTTTTTCATCAGTGCTGTTTTGATGGGGAGGGAGTTGCTAAGGGTGCCGAGCAGCTGACACTTGGCTGCCCTGCTGGTGGCAAAGTCAAGTGCTCCATCCACTTTGGAAAATAATTTGGCAACTTCTTTTTTTTTAATATTAAAAAAAATTTAAACATTTATTCATTTTTGAGAGAGAGAAGAGAAAGGAGAGAGAGAGAAAGAGAGAGAAAACAGGATGGATAGAAGAAGAGAGAGAGCAAGGCACAGAATCTGAAGCAGGCTGGACCTATGAATTGTGAGATCATAACCTGAGCTGAGGTCAGAGGCTTAACTGATTGACCCCCTGGGTGCCCCTGGCAACCTTAAAATGTTATCCATGCACCTACTTCAAACCCAGCCATTCTACTCAGATATAATATATATTCCTACAGAGACTCACTTACACATGTTTCTCACGTAATAGACCCAAACAAGGAACAACCCAGTTTTTACCTGCAGGTAAATGGATGAGCAAATCCTGGTATATCCATACAATGGAATATTACTCAGCAATAAAAAGCAGTGAACTATTAATATGTACAACGTGGATGGATCTCAAAATAATTATGCCACGTGAAAAAAGCCAGACCAAAAAGATTCAATTTATGTAAAAGTATGGAAAATGTAAACTAACCTAAAGTGAGGGAAAGGAGATTGTAAAAGCCTGGGAACCCCAGATGGGTGAGGAGAGGAGAGAAGGATGATGTGACAAAGGGGGACAGGAACGTTTTGGGTGTGCTCACTTTGTTCATTGTCTTGACTCGTGATGGTTTCACTGGTCAGCACATTTCTCAAAACAACATCAAAATGAATGCTTTACTCTTTACATATTTGCGGTTGAGGTATGTTATACCTCAACAAACCTTTAAAAAAGATTTCATATAACATCTTATGATTTCATTAATATCCAAAGTGTTTATTTTGCAACAAGCTACTTAAAATAAAGAAATAGTCTTTTTATGTATTCTGTGTGGTTGACCCTTGACTCTAAATCACACATGCCACTGAATTTTCGCATTTATAAACGTCTTACCACGCAGGCTTCCATCACATCAAACCTACTCTACAGATCACTCCTCGTATAGATAAAATGTGCATTCCACATAAATGAATTAGTCACTTGAGGTGTTAGTCTAGTCAAAAAGCAAATCAGTTCATCTAGTTTGTTTCCAGTGTCTTGAGTGAGTGAAATCAAATGGCTACACTTGGTATTGATTCATAATTTACTGCAAAATACAATCATACCATCTGTTTAAAAATGTCAGTTACATCTGTGTTTGCTTCATGGAAAAGAAAATCTAAAGAACTTTGATTTAAACATGTAGGAGTTTGTTTTAGTCACAAAGCAAGGAACTAATAGTGGGTAGACCAAGACTGGCACCACTGTGTACAACGCAGTGCCAGCCTTAGCCTGGACTTTTAACGTTTTCCTTTTATGCTGCCCCCGTAGCGTGCAGATTTAATCCAGCAAACTCTGAATACCATGTTGATATTCCTGATAGGAACATGTGTCAGATGACGGACCCTTATTAACAGAAGACCTTAGCTGTTGGGGAAAGCATTTATGGTAGAATTCCTCTTACTGCTCACTGAATGTTGCACTCTTACATTATTGTTTTTCTTTTCGTTTCTTATTTTGGTTACCTGAATCTCATTCCTTTATATATAAGTGGTTTTGTTTGTTTGTTTGTTTACTGTGCAAATTTTTTCAACTTTGGAATTTTTAATTTATTTTGAATTTACTGCTAGAGTTCTGAACTGTCACGAGGATCTGCTTTATTGCATTTATTTTGGTCATTGCTCCACAAGTTCATTCTACCCAAGGACTGTTTTTTTTCCCTCCAGTTTCTGCACGCTGTCTTCTGTTACGTTTTAAATTATTTTCTCCCCATTTTCTGTGTTTCTAGCCTTCTAGAACACACATCAGATGATTGTTGCTTTGCTTGAATTGAATTTCAGCATCTCCTAAATTTCCTCTCCTGTTAGCCTGTTTACTTGGATTTTTTCATCATTATGTTGTAGATTAATAGTTCTTTCTTGGTCATGATGATAATTATTGTAGCTTATCTCACTTTTTCTGAATTTCAGTAAACATATTCTTATTTCTTTTTTCCCATTATTTTAGCAGTGGATTCTTGGTTCATAATAGATACCCATTGCCCCTTAAATCACTCTGAAGAGAAAAATTATGGTTTTTTTAAAATATATTTTTAATGTTTATTTTAGAGCATGAGCGGGAGAGGGGCAGAGAGTGAGAGAGACACAGAATCTGAAGCATGCTCTAGGCTCTGAGCTGTCAGGACAGAGCCTGATGAAGGGCTCAAACACATGAACCCTGAGATCATGACCTACGCTGAAGTTAGATGCTTAACCGACCGAGCCACCCAAACACCCCAAAGAAGCACATTTTTTTAAGGAATCAAATTATTTTTATGTTTTTTACTGAGATAGATTTACAAAAAACACATGCATGTGTTTTAGGTGTATAATTCAGTTGTTTTTAACGTATATTTTTACCCACATAATCACAAGTCCGTCAAAACAGAAAATTTCCATTACCCCAGAAATCTCTCTGGGGCCCTTTCCAGCCTATTAGCCTCCTGCTTATCCTCCAGGCAAGCCTTGTACTGATTTTAACCCTTAGGTTGGTTTTAATGCTCATATAAGAAGAATTATAAATACAGTATGTACTCTTATGTCTGTCTCTTTTCACTCAAGATAATTTTTAGATTCATCCATTTGCTGCATGTGTTAGAAGTTTGGTCCTTTTATTACTACCAGTAATCCATTGCATGAATATACTGTTGGTATATCTGTTCACCTGTTGATGGACATTTGGATTGTTTCCAATTTTGAGCAGTTACACATAATGCCATCGTGAACATTCATATCACGTAAAGGATGTATATTCGCATTTCTCTTGGGTAAATATGCAACATAATTTAGATTTTTGGCAGACAAGCCACCCACAGGCCATCACCAATAGCTCATAAACTCAGAAAGAAATAACTTAGTAGGTAAATCAAAAATAACAATTCTTTTTTAAAAAATTTTTAATGTTTATTTTTTTGAGAGAGTGAGAGAGACAAAGCATGAGCAGGGGAGGCACAGAGAGAGGGACACAGATTCTGAAGCAGGCTCCAGGTTCTGAACTGTCTGCACAGAGCCTGACGTGGGGCTTGAACTCGTAAACTGCAAGATCATGACCTGAGCAAAGTTGGCTGCTTAACCGACTGAGGCACCCCAGTGCCTTTAAGTTCTATCTTTTAAAAAATGCATCTACAGAAAGAAACAACAACAGAGACTAATTCTGTGTGTGTGTCTCCCAAGTGGAGGGTGTTCTCAGCTAAAGCTTGGTCCTGAGGGCTAAGCTCATATAGAAAAATAACAGACTACCGTGTAAATATTTATTTTTTCGGTATTTTCACTATCAACTAAGGTATAAATATTTAGGATTTTTCTCCCAGTTGTTTTTCCTCTTATGTGGAGAAATGCCAACTTTAAGAACGTGTGATAAAAAGTGACACAGACTGTGAAATGTCTGCCTGAGTGTGAGAACCATCCGATCAGGGAAGCGCACGTCTCCCCTGAGGTGGCAGCCAGTGTTGGAGATGTTCGGTTTTGCCTCCACTGCAGAGAAAGCTTTGGGCCAAATCTGTGGCTCCAGGTTGTTTCTTCCTCTCCAGCCCCCCTAGGCCCTCCCTCCTACCTCTGTCCACGAGAATCCTGTCACAGCAAGAGGGTGAGGTGGTCCTCCAAAGACTCCATCCACGGAAGCATAGAGTGGAAAGTGTTCCACAAGGCAGAAGGTACCAGCATACCCTCAGGTGGAACTACAAGCCCTGTGGCCTCTTAAAATTCTCTGCAGAATCATAGCACAGGACTTCATTAGTTTTGAATCAGTTAGGAAATTGCTGTATGTTTCCTCTGCACTTGAGTAGATCATTTTTTCCAAAGGCCAGAATTTTGCTTGTGTGTCCTTGTGAGTGGAGTGCCCTTAGCTTTAAGGTCCAAAGAGGAGGCGGGTACGTTGGTGAACATTCTCCCCAGATGCCAAACCAATGACACGATGAAGGGCCTAAGTTATTCCTTCCGGGCAAAACTGATTTCATTTCAGTCTCCTGTCTGTGACTTTTGTTGTGGCCTCCTGATTTCCTTCTCTCTCAGACCCCTATACTCACACTAGGAACCCACCCCCCCAAGGCAATTAGTTCATTTTATTTGGACTATATTTTGGGAAGGTTTCCTGGGTTATATTTAGGGGCTCTCTGCCTATTTTTGGAGCTGGTGTAGTTGGCTCCTATTTTGCACATTTTTTAACTATGTGCCTGGGACCCTTTCCTAGCCTTTGTACAATTCTGTGTTATTTGTTTGTTTTTCTTCTCCCTCTCTAGAAATTTTCTTTTATGCTGCTCATAGGTAGAGATTTTTATTTTACCAAACTAATTCTATTTTCATCTACAGATTTCTATGAGTTGGTCTGCTGTAGAATTCTTTGCTGGTTTCCAGTGCTATTAAAAATGTCTTCCTTAAAAAAATGTCTTCCTTTAAAAAAATTATATGTTTTCTGCCATTTTAGTGTTTGTGGATGGGAAGGGTAGACAATTGTCAGTTCACCATCTTGACTTAAAATTTTTGTACTAGTATTTGCATTTTATTTGTCCCCTTAAAAAAAAGTCCTTTGTTCATTTTATAAAGTAATGCCTATCCTCTATAAGAAATTTAGAAAATGTGGTCAAGCAAGGTGAACGACAGTTTTTCAAAAGAGAAAATACTGTATGTATTCATAAGTATCAAATACATTCTGTTTTGCAACACGTTTCCTTCAGTAAAGAAAAGACTATTTCTATCTTAAATTTTAGTGAAGCCATTGTCTGCTAAAGCAAAAATCTGTTTCCAGCTTTATAAACATAACTTGGTACTGTTGCTACTGAATTCTAGTCACTGCAGAAGATAATCATAGGGTGTGTTTAAAAAACTAAGATTAGACAAGTTTGTGTTTGGCCATGTGTAACAGAAGAGTTGGAGTTATTTTGCTCCACATGGAGATTTGGAGGTCTGAGTCTTATGGGGCATGTACATGATGCCTTTGCACAAACCCTGGTGGGTTTGATCCTCCACCCTGCCATCCTTGGCCATGGCCATCCTCCTTATTCAAACAAGATACCTGGCAACTGTAGGCTGTCATCTGCGATGCTATCATGAGCGTACAGATGTCGTGAGCTGACCCAATTCTTTTTGGTCAGGAAAGCCTTAGCCATTCCAGAAGCACTCTTGGTAAGATTACACTTGCATCTCATCGACCACACTTGTCACATGGTCACTCTTAGCTGCATGGAATCCTGGAAGTGAAGTTCTTTGGTTTAACTCCCTGGAACCAAACCAAGATATTGTTAAACAAAAGGGAATTTGTGGAGGGCAAAGATGTGTCTGCTACAGGGGCCAGTGTCTGCCAGAGGGCCTGCCGTGTAGGTGCTCATAGTGCTGTCCCCTGAAGGGCTGCCCAGGCAGTCACAGCTTTGTATGCTGTCACTCATGTCTAAATACATACGCGTACTGCAATACACGAACACGTGAGAAGTGTCTGCCTGAATAAGAATGGTACTTTTATTTCTCCATTTAGCCAGATGATGCTTCTCTCAACAGTACCGCCCTGTCGGATGGGTCCCCAGATGAAGAAAGGAGTTTTGCAGTTCCCAGGAGTGGCTCTGTGGTAAGTCGTCATGTGCCGAGACAATTGCACATCAGGGCAAAATGGCAAATTCAAGGCAAGAAGAAGCAGTTTCCTCAAAACAGATAAGAAAACCTTGCCCTGAGATTGCAAAGAAACCACAGCTGCCAGTAGACACCCCCCCCCCCCCCCCCCCCCCCCCCCCCCCCCCCCCCCCCCCCCCCCCCCCCCCCCCGCCAATGCTGGAACAGTTAGGAAGTAGGAGACTCACAACTAAGAACGGCTAGATCTTACTATAAAAGAGGGCTGCATAAACTAATACCACTGTGGTCAGAAACCCAAAGGATGTTCTCTACCGGTATCCAGCACGGAGGAATTTGTTACATTTGGTCCTGTTGGCTGAGTTCACACCAATGATCCAACTGTCTTTGCCATTTGACCCAGAGGTCCTCTTTACCTGCAGGGTAAATTAAAAAGCCCTCACCCGGATATTGAAGGCACTACTTCTACATTTCCAGCCTTAGATCACACCCATATAAATCCTCCACTTCAGACAGATTCTGTACTTTTCTTTCTCAGAAAGTCTCATCATCCCCCCTCCCCAGAACCCCTGGGGTTCCCCACCTGGGGTCTCTCTGTAGCTGCTCTGGCATGGGGGAGGGGGGATACAATGGACCAGAAGAAGTGAGAGACCCTGTTAAATGAGATAGAGGTTCTTTGATGGCAGGTTGATTGGAAGGCAAGAGCCCATTAGTCAGGCAAGTAGAGGGGGCACATTTACAAATCCCTCTGGGCAGTATTTTCTCACTGGTGTCCAGTTTAAGAGAAAGGATGGCTGATGTTCGCATGCACAACACATGCAGCAGATTCCCATCGTTCAGAGAGACAGCTGTTAGCCCCAGGTGAAGGAGCTTTTCTGTTGTGTTTTCAGGGTTTTGGTTTTGAGATTGCTTTGTTACAGTGGTCATCTAAGAAACAGAAAAGAATGTGAGTGGCATTTGTCAACGGGTAACTTATCAACAGCACTACAGGCACAGATAGGTTCAGGGTTACCCACAGGGTCTGAGCTACTGGTTCTAAATTCAGCTGCCACTTTCCTATTTAAGACTGTGCATGGGAATACAGATGAGTGAGGATGTCTCTGTTTTAGAGACGCTCTCCAGTGCTGATGGGATGAAAACAGTAAGTCACTCATACTCTGATGACTACAGAAATGAGGAGTTACCTACCATAGATCTTTCACAGTTGTGCTGTGCCCCAGTGACTGGGGACTCCTGCCTAAAGCTTTGCGTAGGATCCTGTATATTCTCTTAGCTGGTGACGCTGCCATGTGCCCAGGGTACCATCCCTAAGCATTAGCCTCACTTCTGCCTACAAGCTGCCCTCCATGTGCTCCTTTCTGAGACCTATGGATTTCGTCTTATAAAGGTTATTTCTACATTCTACATTCAGGAATATTCTGTGTTCTAGAATATTCTACATTCTAGAATATATCTACTCTCCTCTTTTCCTGTAACTACTTCCTTAGTACAGAAACTTATCATCTTTACTGTATTACTGAAGTAGCCTCCTAAGTGATCTCTCTCTGACTTTAGCTTTAACCCCTCAAACTCATCCTTCCCCCAGCTGCAAGTCATTGATCTAAAAATGCAAAGCATTGAGGAGGGCACTTGTTGGGATAAATACCGGGTGTCATATGTAAGTGATGAATCATGGGAATCCACCCCCAAAACCAAGATCACACTATATATACACTATATGTTAGCCACCTTGACAATAACTTATATTAATAAATAAATAAATAAATAAATAGTAAAATAAGGAAATAAATAAAAATGCAAGCCTTGTTTAACGCCTGCTGAGGTTCCTCCACATCTCCTATTTAACACAAAAGCTCCTGACGCAGCCTGACGCCTTGTCTTTCTCTCTCTAGCTGACTTTACGCCCAAGGCATGTTATCTAAGCCAACAAAGGACTGCACGTGGTTCTGTGCACACACCAAGTAGCACTTGAAGCAGAATGGTTACATAATTGAGTTGCTGAGGAGGAAGATTTGGGGTAGGCCTTGTTTTCTAGGTTTTCATTAATCCACTCATCCGTTCACCAAATCCTTATTAGGCATATATTGTCTGCAATATAGTATTCTTGAAAGCTTGAGAGTGTAAGACAGTGGTCTTGTGTAGCATTTACAGATGTGGTTTCCTGGAGTAAGTGAATCATTCAGATTTTATTTTTGTTTTCATTTTTTTTCCTGAAAACTGATTGATTGCTAATTGTGATATAAATAAAAGTATCAGCAGTCTTGAGGCTCAAAACAGTCTGATTGGTACCATCTCCAATGTGACTGACTTTGGATTGTTTGTTACTCAGAATATCTTTACTTAGAAATGTTGAACAAATCGGTTAGTTGCTAAGAGAGATGGGAACTTAACCCTTACTGCACCTATACTGAAAATCAGTCTAGAATTTCTTACCACCAGAGAAATACATTTTGACCTCCCTGATTCTTGATTATAAGGAACCAGTGGCATACCAGGTGGGTTCTGCAGTTTCTTCTAGTAATTCAGTGAAATGGTAGCAAGAGCTTCAGGGGTCCTGGCCATGACACCTATAAAGTAAATCTTGCCTGGAAGGGTGAATTCCCAAGGACATTTCATTGTCATCTTCAAGACTTCAGAGGGTCCCCACGACTTGCCCTTGGAGTTTCTGTTGTGAAACATTATAAAGTAGATAACCTTTTTTCCTTTTCCTAAAGGATAACCTTGGCTTGACCAATATTTTTTTCAATCTTTCATCTTTTACATACATTAGAACTGTTACTTTTCCAATAATTGAAATCTCTGTACATCTGGGGTCTATCGTAATTACTATGACTCTGCAGTTTGTTTTTGAAATCTGTTGGGATGTGTTTCACCTTCATTGTTCTGGATCAAAATTTTCTTTCTTCTCAGAAATTTTTTTACTTCCAAATGAGCTTAGGATGACAATCTCACCACCCATTAAATAAATTTTGTTAGAACTTCACTAAGAATTTTATTGAATTTAAAGATTAATGTTGGGCAGAAAATTCACATTTTAAAATATTGACTCTTTGAGAAATAATAATTGTCTTTCCACTTACTTATGTATTCTGTCCTTCAATAGAAGTTCATAATATTCTTTCTTATACATTTTTTCATTGATTAACTGCTTAGGAACTTACTAGTTTTCATTGATAGGTTAATGGTAGATCTTTTTCAGGAAAACTTCTAGTTTTGTGGCAGTGTAAGGGAAGTAAATTTTTTGATTTCTCATAAAAATATATTTTATAGCTTCCTTTCTGAAAATTCTTCGTACTACTAAAAACTTTTCATTTGATTTTATAAGTTGCACAGATATCACCTGAAAGAGTGAAAGTTTTCTTGACTCAATCTTTAAAATAGCCATTTTATTTCTTTTTTTTTAAGTTTTTTAAAAAAATATTTATTTTTATTTTTGAGAGAGAATGAACAAGGAAGAGGCAGAGAGAAGGAGAAAGGATTTGAAGCAGGCTCTGTGCTGTGAGTGGAGAGCCTGATGCGGGGCTCAAACTCAAACCATGAGATCATGACCTAAGCCAAAGTCAGAGGCTTAACCGACTGAGCCACCCAGGTGCCCCTAGTCATTTTATTTCTTTTCTCTGTTTTATTGGACCACACACAATCACTTGTTATATTGAATAATAATTATGAGGATCTTCTGATAAGTTCTTGATTTTCCCATGAATTCTTTTACGTTTCATTGTTAAGTAGAATATTATTTGTTCTAGGTTTCTGAGACTTCTAGTTGTTTTTATTAGACATGGAGGTTGAATGATATAAAACAATTGTTCATCGTCTATTAAAATGAATATATTTTTCATCTTTAAGCAATTAAGGAGATTCTGTTGATAAGTCTTTCTAATATTGAGCTATAATTTTATTGATAATAAACCCTTATATTTTTACATTATTTTATTACACTACAAAATATATCATTTACTACTATTTTAGCATTAAAATTTTTTTTAATGTTTATTCATTTTTGAGAAAGAAACAGAACGTGAGCAGAGGAGAGAGAGAGAGAAAGGGAGACACAGAATACGAAGCCGGTTCCAGTCTCCGAGCTGTCAGCACAGAGCTTGATGTGGGGCTTGAACTCATGGACTGTGAGATCATGACCTGACCCAAAGTCAGACACTGAACCAACTGAGCCACCCAGGCACCCCAGTTTTAGCATTTTTTACCACTATTCTAATAAGTGGGATTAGCCTAGATATATAATTTCTTTTCATTTTTACAGAGTTATAGTAACCTTGGTATGAATGTGTTAAATAATTTGATTTTTTTTCAGTATTTTGGATCCATATATTACATTTTTGTGTAAATATATAATCTATAAAATCCATTATATATAAATTTGTATTGCACTTTGTTTATGAAACCCCCAAGGCCTGGCATTAATGTAGACATAGTGCTTTGATTAATTTTTCAATGGATATGGTTTGGAGTTTTATTCCTTTTTATCCCAACTGGTATGAGTTTTGGTAATACATGTTTGTTCTAGCAAAACATCCAGTTTATTTATCATTTTAATATGTGTAGATATTTGTGTATACACACATATACAAATATCTACACATACTATTTAAGCATATAATTTTTAAAATTTCTATGAGGTAGCTATTTCTCCTTTTTTTACTCCTAATATTTATGTCTTTTATCCCAATTTGAATGGAAATAGTTGTCTGTATCAGCAATATTTTTTTAAGCTTTTTAAAACTTATTTCTGAGAGAGAGAGAGACACACACAGCATGAGCAGGGGAGGGTCAGAGAGAGAGGGAGATACAGAATCTGAAGCAGGCTCAGGCTCTGAGCTAGCTGTCAGCACAGAGCCCAATGTGGGACAGCGTGACCTGAGTCGAAGTGGGGCACTTAACCGACTGAGCCTCCCAGGCACCCCATGTATCAGCAATATTTTTAAAGAAGTCACTGCCTTTAATTAACGAAGCCTACTTTTTCTTTTCTGATATAATTATTTTTAAAATTTGTATTTAAATCCAAGTTATTATATAGTATAATAATGGTTTTTGGAGTAGAACTTAGTGATTCTTCACTTCGTGTAACACCCAGTGCTTCTCCCAGCAAGTGCTCTCCTTAATGCCCATCACCCATTTAGCCCATCACCCCACCCCCCTCCCCTCCAGCAGGCCTCCGTCTGTTCTCTGTACTTAAGAGTCTGTTATGGTTTGCCTCCCTCTCTGTTTTTACCTTATTTTTCTTTCCCTTCCCCTATGTTTATCTGTTTTGTTTCTTAAATTCCACAAATGACTGAAATTAATGGTATTTCTCTTTCGCTGAGTGATTTTGCATAGCATAATACATTCTAGATTCATCTACATTGTTGCAGATGGCAAAACTTCATTCTTTTTAATCACTGAGTAATACTCCATTGCATATATATACCGTATCTTCTTTATCCATTCATCAGTTGATGGACATTTGGGCTCTTTCCCTAATTTTGCTGTTGTTCATAGTGCTGCTATAAACATTGGGGTGCATGTGCCCCTTTGGGTTTTTTTTAAATTTTTAATGTATTTATTTTTGAGAGAGAGAGAGAGACACAGGGTACAAGTGGGGGAGGGGCAGAGAGAGAGACATACACAGAATTTGAAGCAGACTTCAGGCTCTGAGCTGTCAACACAGAGCCCGACATGGGGCTCTAACTCATCAACCATGAAATCATGACCTGAACCGAAGTCAAATGCTTAACCAAGTGAACCACTCAGGCGCCCCTGCATGTGCCCCTTTGAATCAGCATTTTTGTATCCTTTGGATAAATACCTAGTAATGCAGTTGCTGGGCCTTAGGGTAGCTCTGTTCTTAACTTTTTGAGGAATCTGCATACTGTTTTCCGGAGTGGCTGCACCAGTTTGCATTCCCACCAACAGTGCAAAAGTGTTCCCCTTTTTCCACATCCTCACCAACATCTGTTGTTGCCTGAGTTGTTAATTTTACCCATCCTGACAGGTGTGAGGTTGTATTTCATTGTGGTTTTGACTTGTATTTCCCTAATAATGAATGATGTTGAACATCTTTTCATGTGTCTATTAGCCATCTGGATGTCTTCATTGGAAAAGTGTCCATTCATGTCTTCTGTCCATTTCTTCACTGGATTATTAGTGTTTTGGGTGTTGAGTTTGATAAGCTTTTATAGATTTTGGATACTAACCCTTTATCTGAGGTCTTTATTCAGGTCTTTCATCCCTTTTGAGTTTATTTTTGTGTATGGTGTAAAAAAAAAGTAGTCCAGGTTCATTCTTCTGCACATTGCTGTCCAGTTTTCCGAACACTATTTGCTAAAGAGACTGTCTTTTTTATTGAAGCCTACTTTTTCTATTGTGTTAATTTATTTAATCTTTATTTTTTCATTCATTCTTGGTCTTGTATATTTTTTTCTAGTCTCTTGGATTATAAACATATTTATTTTTGATCTTATTTAGATTTAATGCTAAGAATTAATCTCTGAATAATACTTTAGCTTTTATCATGGATTTTTGGAATTTATTGTTCTTATTGTCTAACATTTAGCTTATAATTTCACATGTGATTTAATTTTTTATCTAAGATATCATTGGAATGCCTTTAAATTCACATTTGGATAGATTTTGTAATTATTATTATATGTTTTATTTTAAAATTGATTGCATATTTGTCAGTGAATGTGACTTATTTAAGTTTATCTCTAGGGTATTGGGTATTTACTGAAAGGAAAAAAATACTAATTCAAAAAGATAAATGCGCCCCTGTGTTTGCAGAATTATTTACAATAGCTAAGATATGGAGCCAACACAAGTGTCCATTAATAGATGAATGGATAAAGCAGATGCAGCATATATGTATACAATGGAATGTTACTCCGCCATAAAGAAGAATGAGATCTTGCCATTTGCAACAACGTGGGTGGGCCTACAGGGTATAATGCTAAGTGAAATAGACAGAGAAAGACAAATACCGTGTGATTTCAGTCATCTGTGGAATTTTAGAAACAAAACTAATGAACAAAATTTAAAAAAAGAGACAGAAAACCAGACTCTGAAGTACAGAAAACAAACTGAGGTTGCAGAGAGGAGGTGGGGGGGATGAGTGAAATAAAGGGGATGAGGAGTACATTTACCTCGACGAGGACTGAGACATATATAGAAGTATTGAATCGTTATATTGGATACCTGAAACTAATAGAACACCATGTGTTAATTACACTGCAGTTTCAAAAAAATGTGTAGTTTTGGAGAATTTAGTAAGATGTAGATTTATCAGTTCTGATCTCAGGTACAGAAGAGGAAGAAGGGGAACCTTACTGTCTGTATTGACTCAAGGCAACTTTTGTACATCGAGGTATAACACACACACACTCAGACCTTGAGGAAAAAGGAAGCAGCCAGTCAGGAAGGTCAGAAACATTCCTGTAAGTAATGAACATGGAAAATGTTTGGTATGGTGTTTCTGTAATGTGAAGGAAATAGCGTACTGTCAAACTCTAGTTTTGAGAGAACTCTAGCAGATAGTGCCAACCTTTCACAGGTTGGAATCTAAAATCATCATCCCCCATAAATGATACTCTCCAATCCCAGTGCTGCGTGATTCACTGGCTGGAAAATGTCGCCGCTCCTTACCAGGCGGAGCCCAGCCTCTGGTGGTCAGTCAGCCACATGGGGAAACGGTAGGGTCTGTTATGGAGAAGCAGAGGAGGTGTGTTTTAGGTAGGAATGGTAATAATGTTTGAAATAGATTAAAATAACTAGTAAAAATTTAAAAATGATGCTAGTGTTAGTATGTTTAATAGATGAATGGATGATTTAAAACTATAAATACCAGGGGCGCCTGGGTGGCTTAGTCGGTTAAGCGTCCGACTTTCGCTTGGGTCATGATCCCGCGGTTCGTGGGTTCGGGCCCCGCGTCGGGCTCTGTGCTGACTGCCAGCTCAGAGCCTGGAGCCTATTTCAGAGTCTGTGTCTCCCTCTCTCTCTGACCCTCCCCTGCTCACGCTGTCTCTCTCTCTCTCTCTCCTAGAAATAAATAAAACATTAAAAAAAAAAAAAACTATAAATACCAAGCACCTAGCCTTTTCAGTCAACCTACTTCAAAACTCAAGGTCCATTTATTGGCAGGTTTATCTTCCTTTTTCATTCTTACCATATCATTCCTCTGCTTTAACACATGAATGTTCTTTTGTTTGTTCTGTTCTGTTTTGGTTTAACCCATATGGGAGTCTCAGCTCCTCTACCTGGCTTTCTGAGCCTTCCATCATTTGAGTTGACTGTCTTGACTAATTTATTTCTCAGATTTTTATAATACCTTGCCTCAACTGCTGGCAAACCAGTCTCTCCACAATTCAAGGGTTGCTGAAATGTTTCAGGTGTTTCCGTACCTGAACTTTCTAACTCCATTGCAGCCCTGAAGGCCTTTGCCAGCCTCCTCTGGCTCTCTCAGTCCTTTCCCTCAAGCTTTGAATTCCAGTGCCAGTTTATCCACCTCTGGGTGAAACCCTTCCAGGCGGCACCTCTTCCCTCTCCATTACCCTCCAATAAACACACAGTTGTAGAAATCAGCTCTGAACAGTGGCTTGATTCTTTTTTAATAATGTTTTATAAATGTTACTCTGTAGTCCTCATTATGAATAGCTCAAGAGCAGGGATCACCGTTTAAACTTCTGCCTCCTCCAAGACAGTCCCACAGTCGTTTACATTACAAAGGGCAGGCATGCCTTCTGGCCAGTAGGTTGGCCTCAGGCCAAGCAAACCAACTCTGCAGGTGGACCCTTCTCTACTTCACAGATTAAGAAATTGGCATTTAGTAGGCTTTAAGCATCCCAAACCATCAGTTTCAGACTGTAAATAAATGTCTCTCCGTTTTCAAAACTGTTGTCTATCACAGGTGAGTCATTTAAAAGTTTGAGAAAGCATTTCTTTTTGGAAAACTTCCGAAGACCACTGAAAAGTGGTCCATATCATTTTAAGGATTTGAGTGTACAGATTAGTTTTGAGAGCCACCATAAATCTGATTGGCAGTCAGTTGTGTGGCTTTAGACCTTTTTATGTCTTTTCATTCTCCTACCAATTACAGTAATTGGGCATCCATGTTTTAATAATTGGCCGTGTATTTACATGATTTTTACACAATTACAAGTGTGTCACCTCCTTTGAGATAAAAAAGGAAAAAGAGCACACAAGTCTCAAAAATCTAGACTTCCCTTGTGTAATTCGTACATATGATAAAGGATCTTTCATGAAGCAGGTGTTCAGTTATTGCTAAATAAATATGAGAATAAAAGAAATAACATCAGGCTCTGGAAAAAATGAATAGACTTTATATTGAATAGTACCATAAAAGATTGCTGATTGAATAGCAGATTTTCATCGTCACACACATTCAGAGATAATAACTCCCACATTAAAATTTATATTGGCAGAAATGGTAGACTTGTGTATAAATTTTTTTTTACCAGTACCCATCCAGACTTGAGCAGGTGACTTGTTTCATGGGGCTTTAGAAAGATACTCAGCTTCTGACAATATCGCAGGGGAGGGCGATGCTTTGGCAGGATCTCAGTGAAGAAAGCAGCAAATTAGAAACTGAACTAGAAAGCATATTTAGGCTTTTGGTAGTTACTCTCACTCTGTATTTTGTTGTGAAGGAATTAATATGTTGATTGTCAAGAGTAGCCAACCCTCATATTGTGCTCAGTGTGTATCAGATATTGTTTGATGTAATTTATACAGGAAAAGTCACTTAAAATTCATAATAACTCTTTGAATGTTCTATTACCATCTTCATTTTATAGATTAGCAGACTAAGCAATAGAGAACTCAAGTGGCTTGCTCAAAGTTGCACAGTAAGTCGGGGAGCCTGGATTAGAATCCCAGCAGTTTGGTCCCAGGGTCCTTTCTGTTAGCCATGTAGCTATGTCATCACCTGGAATTCTTTTTTTAAGTTTATTTATTTATTTTGAGAGAGTTTTGAGAAAGAGAGAAGGAGCATGGGTGCAAGTGGGGGAGGGGCAGAGAAAAAGAGAAGGGGAGAGAGAGAATCCCAGTCAGTCTCCACACTGTCACACTGTCAGTGCAGAGCCCGATGTGGGGCTTGAACTTACGAACCATAAGGTCATGACCTAAGCCTAATTCTGATGCCTAACTGAGCAATCAAAGTGCCTCCATCACCTAGAATTTAAGCCCAAAATGTGTGGCTGCTGCACCAAAAATAATAAATACTGCAATTGGCAAACTAGGTGACATCAAGCATTGTAATTTCTACATGTTAGGAAGGATATGAACAGCAAATTCTCCAGAGCTAAGAAGACATAGTTACTTTGACCTTGACACAGTTCTCCTTTGAGAAGCCTGTGTGAGCTATACAGGTCTGGATTGAACACAGGAGCAGGAAATGAGGTGCAGGCCCTGTATGAAAGCAAGAATCTCTTGGTGTAAAAAGAACTTTTGTAAACTGCAGAACGTAAACCAGATCGAGATGTGAGGCAGCCCGTGCTTATATGATAAAATGTCTTCCCTTGTTTCACAGTCCATACTGGAGACCATTCCAGCTCTCCCAGTTCATTCCAATGGATCTCCAGACCCTGGACCATCAGTTCAGAATGCAGTGAGTGGTGAGTGACACCTCCTTCTCGATGGGACTTAGGCTGTGTCTTCTTGCTTTTGTTCTGGCACTCAGTACACTTGGCAGTAACTTTGCCAGGGCAGAGTGTTTTTCTTTCCATTTTGGTTCTGTCACTCCAGCACCCACTCCCTGCCAGCTCCAAACACCCCATTCTGTCACACCAGCCAAAATTAATTGAGCCAAATTGGAAGCAGAATCTTTTTCTCCTTCACCACCATCACATCATTTAGAAAGTACTCACTTGGGTTGTGTCTTTGATTTGAGATCTGTTTCACAAGTAATCTGGATCTGCTTAATAGTTGCAAGTGGGCCAGGAAGTAGGATACTTCCAGAAATCTCTGCTTATGCTCAAGTGTAAGCAGCACCAGAGAAGCTCATGACACACAAGGTTACAGACTTAGCTTCTAATTGGGCCTCTTCCACTTGAGTGTTGGGCATGCCTCAGGGGCTCAGTACGGAATCCAAAATCCTCCTTCGAGGCCCTACTCTGGTGAGTCCTTGACCTTTTCCCTAAATATGTACCTCTTCTTGTATACAACAGGGATTCACACTTTCAACATTAACTTCAAAATTCAAATGAGTTGGGGTGATGAAAATGTTCTGATATTTGTTATTCAGTTCAAGTCACGCCTCTAAAAGGTAAAACTCTACTTGGGTGGTTTGTTGATTTGGAGCACTGTAATCACCACTCTCCAAAACCTCTGTGTATAAAGCTGTAAGAAGTTAGAATATTCTTTAACAATCCATCTTCTTCCACTTTAAATGCAAGCCTCCGTATGAGGAGTGAAAATCAAAACTCCCCCTTCGCCATTTCCTAATTTTTTACTGCATCCATTTACTGTATTTTTGATTAGTATTTCAGCTCAGAACTTTACAATCTGTTGATTTGCAAATTTCTCCATTTAGTTTTTAAAGTAAGATTCTTTGGGTCTTCTAGTGTTTCTTTTTGTTGTTATTCCTTTTGTCCTGTTTGGTTGTCCTTTGGTCCCTGTCTATAGAAGAGGGTAGAAGAGATGAGTTCTCTTTTTTGTAAACAAATTGGTCTTTGATTGCATATGAAAACTTTTCCCAAGCAACGAAAAAAGATGGCAAGTCAAAATCTTAGTCAGAAATCAGAGCTTAGGGTTACTCAGATGATTTCTGGATTCACTTGTTTTTGGTCAAGGAATCTATGGTCTTAAATTTTAGACTACCTCAAGGAAAATATTTATGTGGGACATTACTTGTCACCCATTGGGCTGTTTCTTCATAAACAGCACACAAGGTCAGGTAACCAAATTAAATCATAAGATTTTGGATTAATTTACCGGAACAACCTTGCAGTGAAGTCCAAATTGAATTTTAATACATCTTAAGAGACAAAAATCCCATAGTTTGGGAAAAAAAACAGTAAGAGAAGTGAATTTAGGCAGGAAGTCTCTGCCCTTCCTCCTTCTGCCTTACGCTTCTGCTTCCCCAGTAGGAGCAACATTGGGTTTAGATGGACGTAACTATATTATCATGGTAACAGAATTACCTCATTTGCGGGCTTTCCTCTAGTAATTCTCTAGTGCCTTTCATGAGGCAGAAAAAATCCAAGATTAAAAGCATCAGGTGAAATAGAAAGTTTGTTTGGATAATGACTACAGAAATTCATTCATAGGGAAGGAAATCTGATGACCCCACATTATCATTTAACTGAAATCTTCTGGGTGAGTCTGATGCTATTCCTTGGATGTAAACATTCTGACATGCTTATAAGTTAACTTATAAATATTTTGTGCTTATTTTATAGGAAATGATAGTGATTGATTAAATGACTTATAAAATATCATACATCTTTTTTTTTTAGATGACAATTATCTGGAAAAAAACATTCTACCAGAAACTGAAGAGCTGTCCTTCGAAGTATCTTATTCAGAAATGGTTACAGAGGCTCCAAAAAGAAACAAATTTAAGAAGTCAGATTTTAAGAAAGAGGACTTTGCTTTAACTGTATGTAAAAACTTTCATGATTATTCTGATAACTTTCTGTGACTTTTCCATGGGACAAACTAGTATTTAAAAAATAAATAAATAAATAAAAACATCTGTGTGTGGAGGGAGAGGACAGGCAACAGTGTTGTATAACACCAGGGCACCATTTATTGTGCAGTGCACAGCCTGCCTGGCTGTCCCTGGCAAGACTGGGTTGAGGAAGAGTTATGAGGGTGTATGCTTGAATACTGTTTTACAGAAGAAATAGGATTTCCTGGCTTGTGTGCTTTCACACACTTTATATTCTTACTTATAGGTTAGTGCAGATTCTAACTGTACACCTACTTGTGCCTCTAGAAGCCACACATCAGAAGAGGGCACTGAAGAAAGTCACAGTCATTCAATAAGAAGTGAGCACTTACGGGGCAGGCACTAAAAATTCATCAAAAATAGACTCAAGAGTTTATATTGTTATTATGGAATAGGCAGGTAGAGCTATAGACTTCATTATGCTGAAAGCCTCAGTGTGTGTGTGTGTGTGTCCAGGATGTTCTATCCTGAAAGCCCACTACCACAGCTATGTTACAGTGATCTATTGGCTATTCAATAAATGGATTTGTGAAACGTTCATGATGTAGAGCCCTGAATATTCTGTGGTGATCAGAGCTGGAGGCATGATGAGCAGGGCTCAGGCAGTTTCAGGGCTAAGGGAATGGGTCACATAAAAACTGGCAGAGCCTTTGCCTAGGCAGCCTGGGCCATTCCCAGACAACTACCCCATGATGGAGGAGAGCAAGAGGGCAGGGCAAGAACTGAAAGGCTCGCTGAGTGCCCTCTAGTAGCCTGATGGTGTATTAGGTATCCTCATTGTAATCATCCTGGACTGCTCCCATTTTACAGCTGAGAAGACTGAAGCCCATGGGGCACCTGGGTGGTTCAGTCGATTAATAATAATCTGACTTCAGCTCAGGTCATGATCTCACGGTCCTTGAGTTTAAGGCCCGTGTCGAGCTCTGTCCTGACAGCTCAGAGCCTGGAGCCTGCTTCAGATTCTGTGTCTTCCTCTCTCTGCCTCTCCCCCACTCACACTGTCTCTCTCTGTCTCTCAAAAATGAATAAATGTTAAAAAGGAAAAAAGAAAACTGAGGCCCAAAGAAGTTAAGTAGTATATCCAAAGCCCCTCTCAATAAGTAGGAAATAGAAAGAGGATTTAAACCTACGTATGTCTGACTCCAAAACTCCTCCTGGTCCCTAAGCAGTTTCCATGTTCGAGGGCACAGGAGTATTCCGGGGCAAAAAGGAAATCCAGTGGAACTCTGGTTTCCGGGAGGCCCTCCTAATCTTTCGAGGATCATCCAGGAGAGGATGCTGGCCCCCAGTTCCCTCATCCAGGCTGTCTGTCTGCTTCTGAGATTTGGGTCATCTGGGGTGCAGGTCAGTTTCCAATGAAGAACTTTGCATGGGATTTAGCAAGTGGTCACTCCATGAATAATTGCAGTTCTGGTCTCTATTGTTGTTGCTGTCTATTACCCTTCTGTGGGGCCTTGGTCTCAGAAAGAGGGTAAAACAGCCAAGCTTTATAAGACAAAGTTGCCCCAAACCACATTCTGCATTTTGTTGTTTTAATTTTAAAATACTTGAGGTTCCACAGAACAATTGTTAACTGAATGAACGAGTGAATGTCTGAGTGGCTGGTTTCAAAACCTCAAGAAAGCTCTATTTGAGGGAGTCCCTATGGAGCATGTGCAAAGCCTTGTAATTCAAATAACTGGGATTTTTCTACTTTAGCATTTTTTTTTCAATAGCAGGTTTTTTTGAGAGCAAAGCATGCTTGTGGCTATTATAGGAGAACAATCTCTCCCTTAAAAGATCTTATTAGAGTCTTCAGAGTATTTCTGGACTGTCGAAGACTTTTTGTTGTCATTTTACTGTTTCGTATTGCGGAAAGGGAGAATATAGCAATATCATTGTCTCAAAACCAATAGGATGATTATTTGGCACTTTCGATGTATTTTCCCTTGTTAGGAACATTTGGAGTCCTCTCCATTTGATTTTCCAGGTAGAGTAACTGCTGTCTCAGCAGGCATATGCAGTGAGATTCAGTAGGGAGACTCCTTTGTCTTTTAGGGTTTGCAGAAGAGCATAGGTAGCACCGGATGGAAGGACTGATGGCCCCCCCACCCCCAAAAATATGTCAAAAGTTCTACTGGGCGCTCTTAGCTGTTGTGCCTTATGTGCCTGGGTCATATGTGCCCATGGTAGGTACATTCCCCGTCTTGCCTGGGACGTCAGGTCACGACACAGGATGTCTATTTGAGAAACCAGTTTTCATGGCTGTGATGACAAGGCTATATAGTACACTTCAGCCCATGGCTTTATTCCTAACGAAGCACAGGAGCGTTCTGCAGACGTTCTAAACACCATTCATAATCTTCTGTGATGCAGCTTGCTCCTCACAGATTTCTTACAAATAGCATGTTTGCTCTACAGATTTAGGATGTCCAGGCGGTGTTTGGATGAAGGGGTAATACTTTTGCTTTGCCATAAAAAATAAATATCCTCCATGTGTATTCTAGAAACTAATTGTCCAGAAAACCAGATTCGGCCTAACTGAGGCAGGAGACCTGTCTGCCGAAGATATGAAGAAGATCCGTCATCTGTCTCTGATCGAACTGACTGCCTTTTTTGATGCCTTTGGAATCCAACTGAAAAGAAACAAAACTGAGAGAGTTAAAGGACGAGGTAGTTGAGACCGGTTTCTTCTGATTTTAATGCTTTGGCACACTGGAGTAAGATAGCGCTTTTCTGATTCTTTTTTCCTTTCTTTCTTGCCCATTTTACAACGAAGACAATGGGATATTTGGAGTTCCGCTCACAGTCCTGTTGGACAACGACCGAAAGAAGGACCCTGGAGTGAAGGTCCCGCTCGTTTTGCAAAAAGTGAGTGAACTGTAAATGAATGGGGAAAGGATAGAGCCTCATGTGGGCAGTTTGGTACCTATAAGCCCACTGGTGAATTCTCTTTTAGATTTAGAGACACTGAAGCCCTCTTAGGCCTCAGGCCCTTGGTGATTTTCAGCGTTCCTTATGCATCTGCATAGCATCCCCACAGCGCTGGGTCCAGTTTGCCTTGCTGTGAACTTGTGGAGCCTGTGATACTGTCTGACCGTAAAGCATTGGGCGACAGACACAGATGCTCTCTACATGGCTTCCTTGTGTTATGTCTTCTCCAGTAGTTTCTAAAGATTACGTGTCTATGTTGTATGTTAGTATTTAATTATTCTCTCTGGAATACAAGTTGACCATTAATTATCAGCTATACATTTACTAATTATACAAGTATTTGCTGAGCTGTCTCACAGGGTGGGTGTTTTTAAATATGTATATGTAATCATTTAAATGAATTCGCCAACCAAAACTTAATAAAGCCTAAAAATCAGCTTTCCTGGTGGTTTTTCAGGTATGACTAGGAAGATAGGGTATATTTAGACAACAAAGAAGTTTGGTAGAAGGGAGTTTTGAAAAATAATATTATCTGAACTGTCATCTGCCAATATCTCTGGGACCATAATTGCCCAATAGTTGGTTTGATTTTAAGCCATATGTTGTTCTATAGCTGACAACTTACATTGGTTTACCCAAGTATGCATCTATTCAACAGTGACATCCAGTGGCACATTTAAAATTCCAAGCCCTAAACACAAGTCTTGTTGCATTTTAGATTGAGTTTATAAGTAGCATAGTAAAATAATTGACTGAGGAAACATATACTTATTTTATTCACCATAACAATGCTATGACCTTTTATTGTGTACTGTCTGAACTTTGTTGTCAATGCCTCAGATTGAGCTACTCCTGAAGTCAGGTGACTCATTGCTGCTGATGGAGAAGGGGGATGCGACGGGAGAGCTAAAGGGTGCTGGCGACACACCAGTGTGCACAGGAGCTTTGTAGGGCGCCTCCCCTGCCTGGGTGCCATCCATATCCTAGCACGGGGAGTCAGCAGCAAGCAGCAAGCAGCCAGAGGGGATTGTGTTTCTTCTCCCTTCTACTGCTGAGGCCACCGAGGCACAGAAGGAGGAGATACCTTACCCTTGAACATGCAGCCAGCAAGGAGGAAGGGCGAGAGGGAGCACAGTGTACTCCCACAGCCGAAGTCCATGGTGACACTAAGATTTTTCTTTCCTTCCTTGAATTAGAACTAGAGTTATGACCTCTGTCCTCTGTGTAAAGGACACAATTTGAAAACAATACATAAAAAATCTAAGACTGCGAAGATTCAACACATGAATTTATATTATTGTGTAGATGCAAAAACCTAGCACAAAACTTAGCAAATGGAAGGTACATAATAAATGCTACTTCAACTCAATTTTGATTTATGTCATGTTAGCAACTCAATAAATGTTAGCTATTACTCCCCTTGTGGTCAAGAGTTCCTCATTGAAGACAGCTATAGGTATTATTCGTCTACTCCTACAGGAGCGTCTTTTTTATGGACGTATTTCTTTGGCCTAAATATCCATTTCTCTCCATATCCTATGAGAACTACCTTAGTTCCAGGCACCATCATTTCTTGAAGGGAAAATAGCAGAGACTCTGGGTCCTCCTTCTGCTGTGTGAACATGGGCGAGTTATTTACCCTTTCCACGCCTTAGTCTCCTCAGCAGTCAGATGAGGTATGGTTAGCACCTGCCTCATAGGATCAGTGTGAGGATTACATGGGCTAATAGATGCGAAGTGCTGAGAATGGGGTATCTGACACAGTTAAGTGCACAATAAATGTTAGGTATTATTACTACTTTCACAACATCGTCATCATCATCATCATCATCGCCATGGGTACTCATGAGAGGTGTAAACGTTTACAGTTTCTACCTCCTTGGTCATATCGGTAGGATTCCTATAGTCTCTCAGCTAAAGTGGTTTGCATCTAATAATAGCAAATTTAGAATCTTTCCCATTGGTGCACCTGCAGAAAGAGAGAGCAGTTAGATCTTAAATTGGGCAAGTGGCCTCGTACTTTAGTGGTCAGCAGCACAGGCTTGAGAGACAGTGCCATTACTCTTGAGGTTGGTTTTGGGAAAGCCACAGGAGGTTCTCACTCTCCACTTCATTTGCAAGTTGGAGGCCACTGTTGACTTCAGAGTCGGTTGTAAACAATGAACAAAGCATTCAAGTATGAGCCACATATACATGCATGGTAATTTATTGATTGTTGTCACCATCATTATTATTTCAGATGTTTATAATTATATGGAGGTATTTATTTTTATAACTTATCATTGTTTTCTAGTTTTTTGAGAAAGTCGAGGAATCAGGCCTGGAATCTGAAGGAATTTTTCGACTTTCCGGATGCACTGCCAAAGTCAAGGTACTGAAGATTTTCTCTTTCTCGTTAGAGATCTAAGCCAACTGGACCTGGTTCAGACAGGCCCTAGGGAGCAAGTCCGTTGTTGTTGTTGTCGTTGCTGTTGACAGTAGGACCACTTGGTCCTATCTCATGTTCCTGGATATCTATAATTAAATGTATATCCTTTTAAATTAAAACAACAACAATAAAAAACCAACAACAGCGAAACAACATACCAATTCACCATCAAAAACTGCCACTTATCTTTCTTTAGTTTGGAAAAGTTGAACTGTCCCAGCATTGTTTTCTGGGTTAAACATTTTAGTTGGCTGTGTTCCTCTCAGTCATGGAATTCACCAACCCAACGTTACATGAGCCCTGTTTCCATTGTCAGTTGCTTTGAACTGAGAAACATTCTTCGGCTTTTCATGGACGTCCTTATAAGAATGTGTAGGAATAGTGCTCACCACTGGGATAGTCACTCAGCCCAGTTCCATTCAAGGTTATGTGAATTTCTACATACAGAACCACGCGGGGAGTGTGATCCTTTGGCTTTGCTTTCTTACTTCTATATGGTGGCCAACTGTACAGTGCCGGAAGGAGAGAATCACTGAAAAACTTTCTTATAAATTTCCAGTAAGCCCTTCCACTTGGTCTGTTGGCGGGGGTGCATCACAAGAAGGAGTCCCACTCTTCTCAGACCGTTCCCTGGCCGTGAGAACCTGAGCAGTTTTAAACAATCAGTCCTTGAGTAAGAAAGCCTCAAGATGAGGGAAAAGTTAACTTGGTTGCAGCATGTAGATGTGGAAGAGTATCTCTTCATTAATTCACTTTAGCATGTGTTTTGGTCAATCCTATTTGTATCAGAGACATCAGAGTTTTTATTTAGAGGTGCCATGAGCTGTTTTTGTCAGTGGAAACTGAAAGTAAACCAGTTGTGTCTGTTGGGAGATACTGAGACGGAGTCAGGAGTGGAAGAGGGTTCCCTGCACGTAGAGCTGCTGCAGGGATGGGCAGGCTGCGCTTCAGACCAGCTGCAGGGCTGATGCTGTCCTTCCCTGTCGCCCCACCTGGCCGAGGGGCCAGGTGCCAGCTCCCACACCACACTTGGTCGCCGCCAGGCTTCCTGTGAGGAAGGGGTGAGGCAGAAGAGCTGGTGTTTACTGCAGGGGCAGGGGAGGGGGATCGGCTGGCTGGGAGTCACCTGCATTATTTTATGCAGATAGCTTGTTTTGCAAGGGAGATCTGAGCAGTACACTATGTGACCCCCTGGGAATGGAGGGTGCTAAGTGCTGGCACAAGGTCATTTGAAAGGCAAGAAAAATCCTAATGGCTCCTCAAGATTTATTCTTTCTTTCTTTTTTTTTTAATTTTTATTTATTTTGAGAGAGGGAGAGACAGAACACAAGCAGGGGAGGGGCAGAGAGAGATTGAGAGTCCCAAGCAGGCTCTGTGCTGTCAGCGCAGAGCCTGACAAGGGGCTCAGTCTTGCAAACTGTGAGATCACGACCTGGGCTAAAATCAAGAGCCGGACACTTAACCAACTGAGCCACCCAGGTGCCCCAAGGTTTATTCTTCCTAAATTGAGTCTACTTTTTGTCTCAGGTTCTCAGGGGTATGGTTGTTATATGTACCCTGAATCAGAGAATGAAAGTGTTGTATCTGTAGGGTCAGAGAACCAAAGTGAAGTCAGGGAAACAAATTTCCTAGACAGAATTAGACTTCATTCCCCTAAACCTTTTCCATAATTGGGAATCTGCATCTGCACATTCTTCCTGGCCTGCGTATGTGTGTGTGTAAAACATAATGGAAATGATTTAAAACTCTCTTTTTTCAAAATAATCAAAAGGAGTCGACCGTACACAACATCTGTTGTGTGCACAAGTTTAAGCCCATAGCACAAGTTACTTTTCTTTAGCTAATCTTTGACTAGCTTACCAGAGGCTAATAATCCCTTCAAGAGTATTCTTATAGGCACATGCATTCCTGAACCACAGTTAGGGAAAAGTCCCTTTTCTCCCCTAATCGGTTTTATGTAGTTTCAGCCTATTTATTCCAGCTCTTATTAGTCTGAAAATGTAATCCAGATGTTTTCATGGTTTGAGCTCCAGAAAAACCAATGTGAAAGAAGTCTGGGCCAGTGAACAGAAACCAGGGAATATCGTAGTTAGAAAGACATTGTAACTTGATATATTAAAGGGGTCTTTATTTCTCTCCTTTGTTCAGGCTTTAAACTACTTTTGTAAATTCATCTGTTAGACTATTTTTCTAGGAATGTGCTTGGGGAAAGACAGTTAAAAAATTTAACCATTATAATTATCCTTGAATTGTGCCAAATGGATGACGCTAACACTAATGTATCATTATGAACAATCCAGGCCCAGGTTTTTACTTTCAGGGCCTGGTGAGATGAACAGGGATGCAGCCCTGGGGGGAAGCTGCTAGCTCTGACCGCACAGGGAACACAGCAGTGGAGCCCATTCCTGTATTTGAGGCCTCAGCTCATTTGGAACCAATTTAATGCTTTGGTGTTTCCAATGATTTTCTCTTCCAAAAATGACAGAAATTTGAGCCAAACACTGGGGAATACATTTTATGGAAGAAGGCAGACTGTTTGACATGCGAAGTTCTCTTTTTTTGCGACTAGCTGCTTTCAGTGTTTCATAATTATGTTACCTGGTCTGCTAGTTTCCCTTCCTGAGCTGGTTTTTGAAGCCAAAGGTGGGTCATTTGCATTTTCATAAAACTGCCTCCGAAATGGAAGCAGATTGTATATTTGCCCAGAGCAGATTTAAGGACGTGGCATCTGACCCCTGCCTAGTGTTCTCATTAACACTGGACAGAAAACATGACTTCTTTAAACTTTATATGCCTCCTGTCCTTGGCAAACTAAATCCAATGCCTGGTTTATACGGCTTCATATTTAACACCTTGGTGGAAATGTCAGCTCTGCCCCTCTGTCCCTCGGTTTGCTTTAGTCAAAAGGACGAGAGGACATTCTTTCTCTGTTTTGTTTATACTGGCCATCCAAACAAGAGGAAGAGATACTATGACGCAAACAACTGCATATGCATGGATTCCCCATAGTAATAACACTAAAGGTTATTACAGACCAAGAGGAGGGGGGTGTTATGAGCAGCCAGTATTTATTGAGCGTTTATTATGTGGCGAGCTCTCTCCCCTGAGCTTTACATTGTATGATCTGACTTAATCTCTATGAAGTCATTTTGGTATCTCTATAACACAGTGAGAAATGTGGGGGACAGACCTTAGAACTAGTCAGTTGTAGAATTGGGATGATAACCTAAAGGGTCTGGTCATAGAGCCTGTTCTTCGTGCTGGAGCCACATTGCCTCTTAAGCTACAGGGAACAGCTGACAGGTTAGAATGGTAGTCACGTTACGTTTCAGACAGCTTCCTATAGCAGAGGGATGTGGGAGACGAATTTGAATTATTCTGCTCTCGCTGGTGCTTCTGGTCTCCTTGAAATCTGTCTCTCCTTTGCTTTGTGTGGTGGTGGCGACAGGCAATGGATGGAAGACATTTGCTGCCTTCCCTGTCACAGCACCTCCGTCTACCTGTGATGTGGGATAGCAATCAGAGTCATCTTGGACTGTTAAGTCTCCTGAATAACCCGTCACTGATTCTTGAGAATTTTCTCTCACAGGCATTTCTTCAGTGCCGCCTATCCTTTCTGTCTTCTAGCTGCTTATCCAGGTTAGACCTCCATTTTTCAGAAATGGTGCCATGGCCCAGTAGTGAGTCTCCTTGCTTCTAGTCCGTTCCCCAGTCAGCACCAAGCTCTGTTCTCCTTCAAATCGCTTTCCCATCTGGTTGTCAGAAAAGATAAATCTCACCTTGTTGTTCTCTTGCTCAGACATGTTCCTTGTTGCCTCCTGGCCCACGGAATTAAATCCAGTCCCCCTGAGGGTCGGCTCTGGATTGTGCCCCAGCCTCCACTCTCTCTGTCTCCTTCTTGCCTGTGATGCTTCAACAACACTGAACTAATCGGAGCTCCCCAGACACGGTGGGTCTCCTTGCGTGTGAACCACTGCTGGAGCGCTTTCTGTTGCCTGGAGTACCCTTCTGTTTTCTCTTCCCTGGACAAGCTCCTCACAGACTCAAGACACGGCCTGAACAGAGTTGGATTCTCCTTTTTCATGGCTGCAGTGCATCCAGTATGTGCTCTGAGTTACATTGTGAGTTCACAAGACGGCCCCACTCAGTGGACCACAGGACGCCTAAAGGCAGAGAGTGGATCTCATGTGTCCTTCTCTTATCAGAGCCCAGTCTGTTCTCTACATCTCTTCTAGGAAGGGCTTTCTTTGTGTATTCAGTGCTTTACTGAAGTCTATTTATCAGCAAAGCATTGCTTCATTTGCTCTATTTTTCCTATTAGATTGAGAGCTTCTCAAGGACAAGAAAAAAAATCTCCTTTTGCTGTCATTAGGAAGGGCTAGAGGGTGGCTTGGAATGATGTCTGTCTCTGTAAGGAACATGTCCTGCCAGAGTGTCCCCAGGGTTGCGAACTCAGGGAGCCATGAGAGCGTTAGTGTCTGAGCTGGTTAGCAAGCAGCAGCTTGGTAGGGAAAGGTCGGACGCGCAGACCGACTCTGGCTGTGTCTGGCTCAGAGCACTCAATAAATAAAGCAGAGGCATCAAAGAAACTGAGGGTTTCCAGAGTTCTCTCTCTTTGGAGTAGTGTCAGTTGGGGAACTGACCACAGCGCCCTGGTGTTAATAGGCAAACTCTGTCTGTAGTCCAAGGGGCCAGTAGGAAATGAGTTTGACTTTGAAAAAGAATCATGGAGAATGGTGGCACTGATAATCAAAGGCATCAATAAGAAAAATGTATAACCCAACAAAAACGTAGGGAGGCTTCGTGACTTTTTTTTTCAAGTGTTTACACAGAGCTCCAAGCCTTAAGAAGGACTGGGCAGGCGTGCAAGCATGTGCAGGGCATGGCTTAACACTTGGCTCTAACTGCTCTGGGAGATGTCATTGATCTTCATGTTGCAGTGAGGTCAGAGTTCCTTTATGGGGACATTTTTCATTCTGTATGAGAACTAGCTGAGAGGCATACATTCTTGTTCTAATTTAGAAGTAGATGACAGGATGACAGAAAGAAGAGATTATGAAAAAAAAAAAAAGGGGGGGTGGGGGGAGTGAAGACTTTTGTCAAATCAGTACATTTGTCCTGTGGGGATAGGTGATTTTCTGCCAAAATCACAGAAACAAAAAACTCTGCCCTGAGTAAAAAAGGTTATATTTCTGCAGAATTAGTAAATTACTTCAAGACTAACATTATTCATTTTTTTAAGTTTATTTGTTTTGAGAGAGAGTGAGGGAGAGACCGTGCACACACATACGAGCGCATGGGGATGGGCAGAGACAGGGGAGAGAGAGAATCCCAAGCAGGCTCTGCACTGTCAGCACAGAGCCCAACCAGGGGCTCTATCTCATGAACCATGAGATCATGACCTGAGCTGAAATCAAGAGTGAGATTCTTCACCGACTGAGCCACCCAAGTGCCCCAAGATTAACATTATTCTTTTTTTTTTAAATGTTTGTTTATTTCTGAGAGAGAGAGAGAGAGAGAAGAGTGAAGGAAGGGCAGAGAGAGAGGTAGACACAGAATTCAAAGCAGGTTCCTGTGCTGATAGCTCAGAGCCTGACACAGGGCTCAAACCCACAAACCGTGAAATCGTGACCTGACCCGAAGTTGCACACTTAACCGACTGAGCCACCCAGGCGCCCCACATCAACATTGTTCTTAAAAGGTTTTAGAAGAATTCATTCAGAAATAGCTATTTCAGGTCTTTAATTATGTTGAAAAAGTAAGGCTTTGTAGATATTGGCTTTTCAACCTATTTACAAAAATAATTTATATAATGACAGTTTTTATAAAGGAAAAGGAGATCAGATGGTCAAAAATGCCTTGAATGTTGATTGTTTTTCTTGATTTTCAGCAATACCGTGAAGAACTGGATGCCAAGTTTACTGCTGATAAATTTAAATGGGACAGAATGTGCCACAGAGAAGCTGCAGTAATGTTGAAGGCATTTTTCAGAGAACTACCCACCTCTCTCTTCCCTGTGGAATATATACCTGCCTTCATCACTCTACTGGAAAGTAGGTGGAAGAAGTTAAGTGTGAATGGACTAGCATATCAGGTCAATAATGTGGCACACAGCAGAAGAAAGATGCGTAATCACATGTGGTCATAAGTGTACAGATTTGCTCTTTCCTGGCAGTGCTGGGTGAAGTACTGAGTTCAATGGTAAACAGTCATCTCTCTTCATATTTATATATTAAGTTTGGTAGATAAATTTTAGAGGGCTTTATAATTGTTAAAAGAGAAGATTGCTGCAAAGGCTAAGCTCTTGAGATTTGAATTCGTCTCAGCCATCTGTTAGCCGTGTAAGCAGCCTTTCTCAGCTTCATTGCTATACGTATAAATTCCGTATAATAATTGCTTGTCAGGGTTGATGTGGTTATTGAAAGAAGGCATCTAGAATAGTGCCTCGTGTGTAATAGTCCTTCCAAATATAGATGATCTCTCCCTTCTTTAAATCCAAGGCCCCAAGTTTGATGATGTGTAACACACAATATATGCTACACAGAAGGTGTTTTGTCTCTGAAAATTACAATATCACCATGGTGTTTTTGAAAATTACAGTCCCCTAGATTAGGCCTTGAGTGAGGAACTTGGATAAGAGCATGGAAACTGGAAAGTGTGTGTTGTATTTGGCAGTGAGGGAATAATTTGGCATGGTGTTAGCCTCAGGGTTGACTGTTGTAGAGATGTGACAAGAGAGGCATTTCGAAAAGTAGAATGGAGCTACATGTTGGGCACTTTGCCTGCTCACCGAGGAACTTGGGGGTCACAAGCCTAACTACGTACAAACCTTAAATAAATGGCAGTTCCACATGGATCGAAAAGGTCCAGGGACAAACAGAAAGGACACACCCCATATAAAGAGGTCGGCCACTGCCCAGCTCTAGATAATGGTTACCATGCGGGAGTGGGAGCCAAAATCCACACTCTAATGGGGAAACTGTTAATTTGAAAATATCAGCCACGAATTCAGATGTGAAAACACTGTGTGGCCTAACAGATGATATCTATATCTGCCAGTTTACAGCTTTCTGCAGGTTGACCGGAACGATAAGATCCTTAAAACCACCAGAAAGAAAATAATGGTCAGGTTCTAAGTTTTATGACAAAACTTGTCCTAAGGTTAGTAGGTTTTAAGTCTGTAAAAATTTTAAGTAAACCAGATTCATAAAATAATCCTTTGTGTCTTCAGAGAAGAGCATATGATAGGCAAGACATTTTTTTTTCTAAGCTTGAATTCACATGCCATCTGTGACCAGTATCTCTTTTTTTTGTATGAGGTAGTGTTTTGTTTTATGAGAGAAGTTCACAAAGAAAGAGAGAAGAGCTAGTTAGCGTCATTCTTTTTTTGTATTTTGTCAGTTCTAGAGTTTCTAGTTGGTAATTTTCAAAAACTGAAATATAATTAATACACAGTGTTATATTAGTTTCAGGTGTACAATAGAAATATTCAGTAATTCCATACATTTTTCAGCACTCATCATGATAAGTGTAGTCTTAACCCCCTTTATCTTTTTCACCCCTTCCCTGCCCACCCCACTCTGGTAACCACCAGTTTATTCTCTGTAAGAGTCTGGGTTTTTTGTTTGTCTCTCTTTTTCTTTGTTCATTTGTTTTGTTTCTTAAATTGCACATGAGTAAAATTATGTGACATTTGTCTTTCTCTGACTTTATTTCACTTAGCATTATATCCTCTAGATCCATCCATGTTGTTGCACATGGCAAGATTTTGGGTTTTTTTATGGCTGAATAATATTCCATTGTATGTATATACATACAAACATGGTATATATCGAATGTATATATACACACACATGCACACACATCTTTTATTGTTTTGTATTATATTTTATTTTTCACACCACATCTTCTTTATCCATTCATCCCTCAGTGGATGCTGGGGTTGCTTCCCTGTGTTGGCTGTTGTAAATAATGTTGTAGTAAACATAAGGGTGCACATATCTTTTTGGATTAGTGTTTTTATTTTCCTTGGGTAAATACCCAGTAGTTGAATTACTGGGTCATATGGTATTTCTATTTTCAATTTTTTGAGGACCCTCCATGCTGGTTTCCACAGTGCCTGTACCAGTTTGCATTCCCACCAGTAGTGCACGAAGGTCCGTTTTGCTCCATATCCTTGCCAACACTTGTAATTTCTTATGTTTTTTATTTTAGTCATTCTGACAGGTGTAGGGTGATATCTCATTGTGGTTTTGATTGCATTTCCCTGATGATTACTGTTGTTGAGCACCTTTTCATATGTCTGTTGGCCATCTGTATGTCATCTTAGGGAAAATGACTCTTCAGTTTCTCTGCCCATTTTTTAATCAGATCATTTGAGGTTTGGAGCAAGTTGGGTTATATAAGTTTTTTATATATTTTGAATACTAACCCCTTATCAGATATATCATTAGTAGATATCTTCTCCCATTCAGTCAGTTGCCTCTTTATTTTCTGGATGATTTCCTTCACTGTGCAGAGGCATTTTATTTTGGTGTAGTCCCAATAGTTTAATTTTGCTTTTCATTTCCCTTGCCTGGGGAGATATATCTAGAAAAGTGTTTCTGTGGCTGATGTTAAACTGCATGTGCTTTCTTCTAGAAGTTTTATGGACTTGGGTCCCACATTTAGGTCTTTAATCCATTTTGAGTTCAGTTTTGTATATAGTATAAGGCAATGGTCTAGTTTCATTCTTTTTATGTGGCTGCCCAGTTATCCCAGCACCATTTGTTGAAGAGCTTATCTTTTCCTCATTGTGTATTTTTGTCTCCTTTGTCATATTCTTGCCACCTTTTTAAGCATTTTCTTTTTTTTTTTTAATGTTTATTTTTGAAGGAGAGAGAGACAGATAGTGAGTTGGGGGAAGGGCAGAGAGAGAGGGAGGCACAGAATCCGAAGCAGCCCCCAGGCTCTGAGCTGTCAGCACAGAGCCCAATTCGGGGCTCGAACCCACGAGCTGTGAGATCATGACCTGAGCCAAAGTCGGATGCTCAACTGACTGAGCCACCCAGGCATCCCTAAGTATTTTCTATTTATTTGCTGAGATGGCCTATCCTTTCATTCATTATAAGAATATTTTCCTTCACATCATTGAACCTAGTTATGATAGATGCTTCAGAATCCTTATCTGCTAATACCCACAGATGTGAGTCATCTCAAGGTTGGTCTCTGTTGATTGTCTTTTGCCTTGAGAACACATTGCTCTTGTATGTCAAGTACATTTAAACTATATCCTGAACAGTGTAAATACTGTGTTTTGGAGACTCTGCATTCCATAATTTCTCCAAAGAGTGAGGTTTGGAGTTATGTTTTGGTTTTTGTCATTTGTTTGTTTGTTTGTATTTAAGCCAAAAATTTACTTGAACTCAAATTGAACTCAAATGGCCAGTGGTCTTTTGGAGAGCAGCTCAACTGTCGGTCCAGTTATTTAATCCTTGCCTGTGCTACTCCACACATGCCTGGTTTGTGGGTCAGCCAAGACTTATACCAGAGTCAGAGCCTTTGCCCCTAACTTCCCAGTGGTTGTAGGCATCTTGAATCCTGTCTTTTAGTTGTTCAGGCCAGAAAGACTAGAGTTTTCTTTTGAAGTTTTAGCTACCTCACACAATACTGACTATAGCCTGACCTCAGACTAAAAACTAGAAAGGCAAGAAACTCTCCCTGTGCCCTTCCAGGTGTCCAGTCTTCTAAGTCTGCCTGCTTTTATTAATTCTCCCACCTACGGAGTTGTTTTGTTTTGTTTTTATATTTTTATTTTTATTTTGTCCAGAGTTTATAGTTCCCTTCAGGAGGGTTGGTCAGGAAGGAGCTTAGTCAGCCATATCAGAAGCAGGACTTCCTCCCTTCAGTTTATAAGCCCTGAAAACATAGGATTTTAGTATAGTTTGCTTTCCTGGAAAATGGGCTGCAGGAGTACTGGCTTTACTGTAATCTTTGGTGTATATACTAAATAATTTAATCAAAACAAGCTGGTGCCACAGAGGATTTTGTTATGCTTGTGGCTTCTTGGTATTATGAAATTATGCCAGCCCTGGTCAGAGAATCCTATTTAAGAAAGGTATACAAACACACTAGTTTCCTGAGCAGCATTGTTCCCTGTCTGACTGCAGCCAATACACCTCACTGAAGGAAGAAAATCTGGAAAATATCCTGAAAAAGTTCACAGAGGAGTCCATGTTTGTTTGTATGCCTTTGAATTTGAAAAATACTATGTTACAGTGATTGATTTGATACCAGGCGACCCCGCAGGAAGCCCAGAATTCTGGGCTCCTACCAGCAGGGGAAATGGCCTTTTTGCTGCCTGGAGTAAGCTCTAGCTATTACAAGATTTTCTGAAGGAAGAAATTGTGGATACGTGTGTTTAAGCTACCATTCTTCATTCTCTGAAAGGGGGTTTGGAGAATGTTGTCTTTGAGTGTAATCGCTTTCTCTTCCCAAACTTGGCCCAAAAAATGTCCATAAAATTAAAAGACTAATAGTTTATCCATCAAGTGTTAGTTGCTTTCATGAAAAGCTTAATAACTTTCTGAGAAAATAATCCTAACCAGAGTGCAGCAAATGAATTAAGTACAAAACAGTTAACCACGAAATGGCATAGGGGCAAGTTATCTAAATAAAATGAAAATGGACTATTTGCCAGTTTAGAGTTTTAGTCTTAAAAGTATTTTCATAATTGCTCTGAAATTAGTAGAAATACAGAAATTGCAGCTCTGCCTGTTGCTCCCGCCACCAGCCAAAGAGCTTTCCTGGTTGCATTAGAAGATTAGCCTGCAGTTTATGCATTAAAATGCCTTATGTGGCACTCAGTGCTTTATACTGAGATATGCTCCTGATAGTTCCTGTTAATCAGGTAAGCTCCCATCAGCGTACATTGGCCATTTTCAAAAACATCCTGAACCTGCGTCATTTTTGTTTACAAATTCGACATAAATTTCTAAAAAATCCACATGGGGATTATGCCTGAGAGTATGATACAGCCTTACAATGATGTTCCCAACTGTTTGTCTGTTACATGATTATATACATTAGTCATCTACTGCTAACTAGGATGCTTACCATCTCCTCTAAGCCACTAGCTTGTCACAAGAGTGTTTCCACTGCTGTAAAGCTAAGGAGCTTTACAGGCAGGTGACTGCCTTTCATCCACTGAATATAAATAGATTTTCCTTCAACTTGAAAACTCTCCAGGGATGCTTGAACATAATGCTTCCCTCCAGGAACTCTCCACCAAGAGGCCATTGTGAAGAGAATACAGAGAGACAGAGCAAAGCCTGGAATGCTCTGATATACTGTACATTTTCAGCACAGCTGGTTGTGGATTATCCAGTTGTGGATGGAATCCCTAAAATTCTTTCCCTAAAACAGGAAAAAAAAGCCAACGTTTCAAAATATGGAAGTATAAATGTCAGCCCTCTGGCGCCATCTTCTGTCATTATCCCGGAATAAAATACTCAGGAATCTGGAGCTCCAACAGTAGTCACCTTCTTTAAATGTCCATTTAAGATCTAAAAATGTCACTAATCATAATAAAAAGAGCAGACACATGCAGAGGTAACCATGTACTGGCAATGATGCAAACGCTATACATACTAACTCATTTGTTCTTTGTAACAACCCAGTGAGGTAGGTACGACTATTCCCATTTTATAGATGGTAAAATAGCAGTGAGGGCTTATACAACCTGTCCAAGGTCGTTCAGTGACTAAGCAGTAGATGCAGGATTTGAACCTGGTTCTAGAATCTATGCTTCTAATAATTATACTTTGCTGCTTCATCATGTGGAAACAAGATTTATTTTCTATTGACTTGAGCTTTTTTTTTAATGTTTATTTTTTTCTTTTTTTTTTTAATAGTTTATTGTCAAGTTGGTTTCCATATAACACCCAGTGCTCATCCCCACAAGTGCCCTCCTCCATGCCCATCACCCCCCGTCCCCTCCCCGCCACCCCATCTGCCCTCAGTTTGTTCTCGGCATTCAAGAGTCTCTCATGGTTTGCCTCCCTCCCTCTCCCCCACTATGTTTATTTATTTTTGAGAGAGAGAGACAGAGTGTGAGTGTTGGAGAGGGCAGAGAGAGAGGGAGACACAGAATCTGAAGCAGGCTCCAGGCCCTGAGCTGTCACCACAGAGCCTGACATGGGGCTCAAACTCACAAACTGTGAGATCATGACCTGAGCCCAAGTCAGATGCTTAACCGACTGAGATCATGACCTGAGCCCAAGTCGGACACTTAACTGACTGAGCCACCCAGGTGCCCCTTGACTTGAGCTTTTAAGCCTTCTGTTTATAGCATACAATAAAGCAGCGCCAATGGAAATACTTTGAAAAGAGAAATGTTATACAAATCTGGAATTATTTTGAGGCTCTCACTGGCCACCTGCCTCAACAATGGCATTATGGGATGTGAAAGAGGAGTTGATAGACTGAGGCTCTTATCCAAGTTAACAAATTTACATTGTTGGGCACAAAACCTGAGTCTTTACCACCAAAAGTTGTCAGGAGCCCTCCTGTGCCACCAGATGTTAGCAAGAAAAGCTGTCAGAATGCATCAGTGTTGTTCCAAATGTGTGGTTATTTCTGTTTTCTTGTTAGGAGGGCCTCACATCAAAGTACAGTTTCAAGCTTTACACCTTATGGTCATGGCACTGCCCGATGCCAACAGGGACACAGCCCAGGTAAGTGGTATCAACCTCATGGTCTGTCGTTGACCCTTCTTAGAGAAGATGGTTCAGAGGGACAAATGGAGCCCACGATGACAACTGCCTAAGTCGGCTCAGTGCACTGCCAACCTGTCTTCGCACATTCCCACTGCTGTTCTCCCGAGGAAGGCAGGCAAGGATGTAAATCTTGGGACCTCCTTTGAACATTTTGGTTCTCTTCACCCAGTCCATTGAGAGGTACTGAGTATCTATACTATCTAGTGCCCAGGCACTGGGCTAGGGTTAGCAGGAGGAGAGGCACATAATGTTAGAAGTAGATGAGACTGTTCTGTAAACTGCAGAATATGAAACTCCCAGGGCACCTGGGGTGGCTCAGTCGGTTGGGTGTCCGACTTCAGCTCAGGTCATGATCTCACAGGTCGTGTGTTCAAGCCCCGCATCAGGCTCTGTGCTGACAGCTCAGAGCCTGGAGCCTGTTTCCGAATCTGTGTTTCCCTCTCTGTCTCTGCCCCTCCCCGACTTGTGTGCTCGCTCGTTCGCGCGCGCGCTCTCTCTCTCTCTCTCTCTCTCAAATGAATAAACATTAAAAAAAAAAAAGAATATGAAACTCCCTAAGCTGTTTAGTCCAGTCTAGAGGCAACAGATATAAGGAGTGTGCTTAAGGAGGAAATTTGAAATCACTGATTTAAATGAAATTTGTAAAATGTTTATGTCTTAAAGTTTATAAGGATAATTTAATTAAAGAGTCCTAGAATCTTGGAATTTTGGAAATCATCTGATAGGGTCTTCTCATTTTACAGATTAGGAAAATTAGGCTCAAGAAAATAATTTCTCCATTAATATGTAATAGAACATTTGATAGAATCCGACTCCATTGTTCTCCAAATAGTCTGCCCTTTATTTCAGATTTATTTCCTTGCTGTATGTTGGCAGAAATCAAAAGGTCCTCTTGTTATTTTGATAATGATTCTGTATGCAGTGGGAAATCTGTTATAAGTACAACAGGTGTTTGGAATCTCTGAAATGAAATTGAGTTAAGATGAGCTGGAAAGAGCCTGTAATTTTGAGGCCAGTAAACATAATGCTTGAAAACAAAGATGATTCTTTCTGCTGCCTCTTATCAGACATTTCAATTTGGTGAAGGCCTTTCCTCCTACATAATAAAAAATATCTGGGTCAATTATCATATACATCAATTATATCATATCCTCAGCCCAAGGCTGGGGATTGGATATGACATAAGAATGTCTGTGTCTAATATAATTCAGTAATTTTTCAAAAGCAGGAAATTTATTAGCTTATATTTGGGGGGTGTGTTCAACAGCGTTCTTTTACGTATAAAAGGGAAAAAAGATGATATTTGGTTCAGAAACAAGTAATCCGATACTTTTCTAAAAGAAGATCCTCAAAAAAAACATCATGGGACTGGTGAAGATGTTACACTCACACACGTGCGCATGCACACTCATACACACACACACACACACACAAACACAAATTTTTTTTCCCATTCCATGATGTGACTGGATCTAGGATTGAAACTGGTGTGAGGGAGAAGTCAACAGCTCTGGCTCAAGAGTTAGATTTCCTCAGATCAAATCCTAAATTTGCCACTTACTTAATTCACACTGGTCAAAGCTACTTTAATCTTTTCATTAGTTTCCTCCTCTGTCAAACAGAATTAATAATAGTACCTACTTCACAGGGTTTGTAATGATTATAAAGTCAGTGATATATATGAAGTATTAAGAATAAAACTTGGCTCACAATAAACCCTCAAATAAATGTTAATCATTATTAATATTTTGTGCTACCCATTTTCTCCTTAAAAATATACAGCAGATTCAAACTTGGAAAACTAAAGAGCATCCTTTCTTTCTTTTTTCTTTCTTTTCCTTTTTCTTTTTTTAAGATTTCAGCCCTCTTGGTGAATTTCAGAAGGTTCTGATAAGTATCTGTATTTTGGTGGCTTAGCAAACCTTAAGCTTTCTCAAATCTCTCTCTCTCACTCTCTCTCTCTTTAAATGCCAAGAACAGCTTCGTGTAAGCATTTCCCTTTGGTCTGCTGAAGATTCTAAAACTGAAAAGCAGTGGGAAAATGACACCCAGAAAGTAAAACTTAAAAATTTTTCAATTGAGTTTACATTTGAACTGAGTAATGAGATACTCATTTTTTTTAATGAGTTTTGCTTTCCCAAGGAAACAGTTAATAGTTTTCAATGACAATGCTTTAAACTAAAGTGTTTTTAGGGGTGATGGGTGACGGTGAAGCATCCGACTTCAGCTGAGGTCATGATCTCAGAGTCCGTGGTTTCAAGCTCCGCATTGGGCTCTGTGCTGACAGTTAGCTCAGAGCCTGGAGCTGGCTTCAGATTCTGTGTCTCCCTCGCTCTCTCTCTCTGCCCCTCCCCTGCTTGTTCTCTCTCACTATCTCTCAAAAATAAATAAATGTTAAATTTTTTTTTTTTAATCAGGGTGTTTTTAAGGATTTCTTTTCTTCCTCAACAACAAAACTTCTTTATTTGAATTGCAGTGTTTTCTCTTCCTAGTTTACTACATAATTTTAATATTTGTTAACCTCATTTTGGATAAAGAAAATTAAAAAAAATGCAAACTGTTACTTACAGAGATGTCAACATAATAAACTCCATAAATATGGAGTACTTTAATGAAGCAGAGAATTGAATGAACAGTTCACTTTTCTCATTAGCGCTTCTAAGTAATAAAAGGGGCAGCATTACACATTTAACCATCCTATACTTCTGACAGTTTTCTAGAGGGCGCCAGGAATGGTATAGAAGTGAATGACAGCAGCCAGTGGTGCCTCTTGATAATCTAATTAGTGTGACACAGTGCTGTTTCTTGCTAGGCCCTCATGACATTCTTCAATAAAGTGATTGCCAACGAGTCAAAAAACCGAATGAGTATATGGAACATTTCCACCGTAATGGCCCCAAACCTTTTCTTCAGTCGAAGCAAACACTCTGATTATGAAGAACTACAGTTAGCAAACACTGCAGCCCACATCCTCCGTCTAATGCTTAAATACCAAAAGATGCTGTGGAAGGTGAGTAACAATGTGATGACTGTGATGTTTTCCTTGGAAGTCCACCAGCACCCAGGAAATGTGAAGACTCCACGAGCAAGCCATATCCTTAGTCACAGGAGGAAATAGGATATCACCCAGGCTGCCTGTGGTGTCTTTGTACATTCTTTAATGACTATTCCTGACATGTTTCCCCTCATAAACAGGAATGCTTATCATTTTCTCTAAAACGTGAAGACAAATGCCACAGTCCATTTCCAGGATACTGAGTGGCCAGAAGGAGTTACATAACTGAAGACAGAATGTCCCGGGAAGGTTTAATTCAAACACTTTCCTTTCTATTCAAGCAGTGTTTCTTCTCCAGGTTCCGTCTTTCTTAATCATGCAAGTCAGAAGAATGAATGAAGCTACCATGTTGTTAAAGAAGCAGCTCCCAAGCGTCAAAAAGCTGCTGAGGAGGAAGACCATAGAACGAGAGGTAAGGGCAGGAAACTAAGGGCACAAATGTTACTGCCCAGGTTTTTATTTCTCAGAGCATAACACAAAGTAGCTTGTAATTTATAACCAAAAGTTTTATATTCTCAAAAAGTATCAGTTTTGAAACCATAAACATTGTGGAAACGGTGTTCATAACAGAGTACTGTGGTATTTCCATTTTGTAGAAATATGTGCTTCAGGTTGAAGTTCTTGAAATAGCTTTATCTGGAAGATTATTTAATAATCTGTTAAGTACTTAAGTCTAAAATGGTTCTCCTTTAAAATTTTTCAGTTTAAAAGGTTGACTAAAAGTCAACCTTTTAGTCCCTGTGAACTAAATTTAGGGCATTCCAGTATCCAGTATGTCTAATAAATAGAGTACGATTCCTCTAGTGTTTGGATAATAAACGATTATTTAATCTTCAAGATTAGTGTTTAATCTTCATTGCATTCCAAAGAATTTTTGCTTTAGCATAGTTTGTATGGAGGTGAAAAGGAGAGCAAATTTTAGAAGCATTATCTTTATTGTTTTAATTTAATTTGAGGAAGATCCTGAGGGTCAGGCAGAGAATTAGACCTTGAGTAGAATGAAGAGATTCATGAGATTTGCTTTGGTCTTAAAGGAATTTCCACGTAATGTGGGAGAAAAATGTACACAAGAGCCATGAATATGCATTAAGTGCTAGACCACTTGTATAGACAATATGGCAAGGGCAGGCAGAGGAGAAAGAAGTAGGCTCTGGTGTGGGAAATTATAGACAAGTTCATGAAAGAAGTGGTGTTTGAGTTATATCTTGAAGGATGAGTAGCATTTAGAAGGGAGAAAGGAGAAGAAAATTTATTCAAGCAAAGGAATAATAAATGCCAAGGCAGCGTGGTGGGAGTATTGTAATTGATCTACCATAATCATGATGAATAGCTGTATTCCTTTATTGATTATAGGCAGAGTGACTTCAGATCAAGAAGAATCAACATTATTATTTGGAAAGATCCTTTTAATTGAGAAAAAAAATTCATTTTTTTAAAACAACTTTATTGAGATATAGTCCTCATATCTTACAGTTTATTTAAAGTGTAACAGTTAGTGATTTTTAGTATAATCACAGATACATGAAATTGTCAGTCAGTACAATCAAGCTCAGAACATTTTATCCCCTGGGAAAACACCGTACCCTTTGTCTGTCATCCCCTTAAACACACCTCCACCATTCCCTCCTACCTGTCCCAGCGACAACTCATCTCCTTTCTGTCTCTATAGAGTTCCTTATTTGGGACTTTTAATGAATTAAGTCATATAATACATAGTCTTCTATGACTGGCATAGTTCCTCTAGCATTATATGTTCATGGTTCATCTAAGTCATAGTATGGGTCAATACTTCCTTCTTTTTATGGGCAAATAATATTCCATTATATGGATTTACACATATTTTTTTATCCATTCATTTATTGATAGAGATTTGGGTTGATTATATCTTTTGTTTATTATGAATACTGCTGCTGCAAACATTTATATGTAAGTTTATAGGTGGACATATGTTTTTGCTTCTTTTGGGTATATATGCTGAGTAATAAATCACCTCTATGCCGAGTTATCTGAGGAACTGCCAGACTGTTTTTCAAAGCAGCTGACCCATTTTTCACACTTTCACCAATAGTGTGTGAGAATTTAGATTTTTCCATATCCTCACCAAAATGTGTTATTATCAGAAAGTTTTATTCTAGCCATCCTAGTGGTCTAAAATGGCATCTCATTGTGGTTTTGATTTTCATTTCCCTGAAAACTAATGGTGTCAAGCATCTTTTTGTGTGCCTATTGGCCATTTGTAGATCTCCCTTGGAGAAATGTCTATTCAGCTTCTTCCCCAGTTTTTGATTGGGTTGTCTTTTTACTATTAAGTTGTGTAGAAGTTCTTCATGTATTCTAGATACAAGTCCCTTATCAGATGTATGATTGGAAAATATTGTTTCCCCTTCTGCGGTTGTCGTCTCAGTTTCTTGATTGTGTCCCTTGATGCACAAAGGTTTTTACTTATGATGAAGTATAATTTATCTACTGTTTCTTTTGATGATCACGTTTTTGTTGTCATATCTAACAATACTTTGTCAAATGTAAGGTCATGAAGATTTGAACTCTTTGTGTTCTTCCAAGAATTTTCTAGTTTTAGTTCTTATATTTACATCTTTGTTCCATTTTGAGTTATTTTTAGCATATGGTATGAAGTAGGAGTATACAAGTTCATTCTTCTGCACATAGGTATTCAGTATCTCAGCACCTTTTGTTAAAAAGACTAATCTTTCCCCCAACGAATGGTCTTGACACTATTGTTGAAAATTGACTGTAGATGTAGGAGTTATTTCCAGACTCTTAACTTTGTTCCATTTATCTATATGTCTGTCCTTATGCCAACAACGGACTGTTTTGATTACTGTAGCTTTGTTTTAAGATTTGAAATTGAAAAGTGAGAGTCTTCCAACTTTTTCTGTTAAGTAACTTTAGTTATTTTGGGTCCCCTAATTTCCATATCAGGTTTAGGATCAGCTTTCCCATTTCTGGAAGAAAAAAAAAAAAACAGTAGTTGGGATTTTGATAGGGATTTTATTGAATATATAGATAAATATGGAAAGTATTACTATCTTAATAATATTACATTTTCCAGCCCATGAAAATGGGTTATCTTTCCATTTACTTAGGTTTTCTGTAATTTCTTTTAACAATGTTTTATGGTTTTCAATATACAAGTCTTACACTTTCTGGATTACATTTATTCCTAAATGTTTTATTCTTTTTGATACTATTGCAAATGGAATTGTTTTCTTTTTCTTTTTTTAATGTTTATTTTTGAGAGAGAGAGTGAGCAAGCAAGCGGGTGTGCCTGTGAGGCTCTCTGAGGGGGAGGGGCTGAGAGATGAAGACAATCCGAAGCAGGCTCCAGGCTCTGAGCTATCTGCACAGAGCCCAACCCAGGGCTTGAACCCATGAACCTCGAGATCATGGCCTGAGCCAAAGTCGGACACTTAACTGACTGAGCCACCCAGGCGCCCCTGGAATTATTTTCTTAATTTCATTTTAGGATGGCTAATTGTTTGTGTATGGAAACGCAACTGATATTTGTATGTTGATCTTCTACTCTGAAGTTTTGCCAAACTCATTTACTGGCTCTAAAAGTTTGGTTTTATGTGTGTTAATTCTTTAGGATTTCTACACATAAGGTCATGTTATCTGTGAATAGAGATAATTTTCCTTCTTTCTCCTCAATCTGTGTGCCTTCTTTTTCTTGCTTAATTATCTTGGCTAGAACTTCAATAGAATATTAAATAAGAAGGCAAGAGGAGAGTCCTTGTTTTGTGTCTGATCTTAAGGGGGAAGCTCAGTCTTTTGTCATTAAGTGTGATGTTATATGTGGGCTTTTCATTGATTGCCTTTATTGGTTTGAGAAAATTCCATTTTTCTTTTTCTTATATTTTTTAAATTCAATTTATGTAAACTTAAACCCCCCAAAATGGCTCACCCATTTCTTCCTCTTGTACCCCATTCCCCACCTCAGCAACCACCAATCTGTTCTCTATATCTATGAACTAGAGATTCCAAATATAAGAGAGATCATACAATATTTATTTGTCTTTCTCTGTCTGACTTATCTCACTTAGCATGATGCCCTCAAAATCTTGTCACTTGTGATAACATGGATGGACTTCAAGAAAACTCTATTCTATTCTTAATTTGTTGGGTGTTTTTAACATCAGAGGTGTTTGATTTTGTCAGATGCTTTTTCTCATCTGTTGAGATGGTCTTTGGGTTTTTTTTTTTCCTTCATGTTAATATGAGGTACTTGATGTTTATACTGATTGGTTTTCATTTATTGAACTACTCCTGCATTCTTGAGATAAATCCTACTTGGTCAAGGTATACGGTCCTTTTAATATGCTACTAAATGGGTTGCTTATATTTGTTGAGGATTTTTATATCAACATTCATAAGGGATATTGGTCTATAGTTTTAATTTCTTGTTATATCTTTGGTTTTGCTATCAGGGACATACTAGACTTTAGAATGAGTTAGGAAGTGTTCCCACTTCTATTAATTTTTTAAATGTTTATTATTTTTTAAGTTTTTTCATGTTTATTTATTTTGAGAGAGATAGAGGGGAAGGGAGAGAGAGAATATGGGGAAGGGGCAGAGAGAGAGGAAGACACAGAATCTAAAACAGACTCCAGGCTCTGAGCTGTCAGCACAGAGCTTACACAGGGCTCAAACTCCGGGACCGTGAGATTACCACCTGAGCCAAAGTTGGATGCTTAACCAAGTGAGCCACCCAGGTCCCCCCCCCCCTTCTATTTTTTAGAAGAGTTTAAAAATGAATGATTGATGTTACTTTTTTAAATTTGCAGTAGAAGTTACCAGTGAAGACATCTGGTCCTGGACTTTTCTTTGTAGGATTTTTTTTTTTTGAGTACTGACTCAGTCTTTTTACTCCTATAACTATATTCAGATTTGCTGTTTCCTCTTGAGCCAGTACTAATTGTGTGTTTCTAGGATTTTGTCTATTTCATTTGGTTATCTAATTTCTTGGCCAATATAGAAGTTGTTCCTGGTGTTCCCTTATAATCCTTTTAATTTCTGTAAAATTGATAGTAATGTCCCTGCTTATAGTCTGTATTAATAATTTGAATCTTCATTCTTCTTTACCCTGTCAGTTTAGCTTAAAGGGCTGACCATTTTGTTGATTTTTTTTAAAGGCCAACTTTTGTTTGACTGACTTTCTTTATTGTTTTTCTATTCTCTATTCCTTATTAAAATTCTTATCTTTATTATTTATTTTCTTAAGCCTGTTTGAGTTTGGTTGTTTTTTTTTCTTTAGTTTCTTAATGTAGAAGGTTAGATTATTGACTTGAGCTCTTTATTTTTCAGTGTAGACATTCACATCTATAAATATTCCTCTGAGAACTACTTTTGCTCAATCCCATATGTTTTGGTATAATGTGTATCCTTTTTGTCCAT